ACTCAGCACAGAAAATTAAATGGAACAAAGAAACTGTTAACATCACAAAAAAAAAATCAAAATGACAGCACTAAACTCCTACCTATTAATAATTACACTGAATGTAAATGGATTAAATGCACCAGTCAAGAGACAGAGAGTGGCAGAATGGATTGAAAAACATGATCCCTCTATATGCTGACTATAAGAGACACACCTTAGACTCAAAGTCACAAACTCAAAGTCGAAGGATGGAAAAAATATATCAAGCAAACAACAGTCAAAAAAGAGCAGGAGTGGTAATATTAATCTCTGACAAAACAGACTTTAAAGCAAAATCCACCACAAAGGATAAAGAAGGACACTATATAATGATTAAAGGGTCAATACCGGGAAGTCATACCATGATAAAAATTTACGCACCCAACAACAGGGCTCCAAAATACATAAAATAAACTCTAACTGCATTGAAAAGAGAAATAGACAGCTCCATAATAGTAGTAGGAGACTTCAACACATCACTTTCAGTGAAGGACAGAACACCCAGAAAGAAGCTCAATAACGACACGGAAGAGCTAAATGCCACAATCAACCAACCTGATCTCATCGACATATACAGGACACTCCACCCAACAGCAGCCAAGTATACTTTTTTCCCAACACACATGGAACATTCTCCAGAATAGACCAAATATTAGGCCACAAAGCAAGCCGTAACAGAATCCAAAAATTGAAATATTACAAAGCATCTTTTCTGACCATAAAGCCATAGAAGTAGAAATCAATAATAGGAAAAGCAAGGAAGAAAAATCAAATACATGGAAACTGAACAACAACTTACTGAAAAACTACTGGGTTATAGAATAAATCAAGGATGGAATAAAGAAATCCATAGAGAGAATGAAAACACATCCTACCAGAATCTTTGAGACACAGCAAAAGCAGAGCTCAGAGATCAATTTATAGCAATAAATGCACACATTCAAAAAGAAGAAAGGGCCATAATCAAAACATTAACCCTACAAATGGAACAGGTAGAAAGAGAGCAGCAAAAGAAGCCCTCGGGCATCAGAAGAAAGCAAATAATAAAAATTAGAGCAGAATTAAATGAAATAGAGAATAGAAAAACAATCGAAAGAGTCAATAAGACCAAAAGCCGGTTCTTTAAAAAGATCAACAAAATTGATAAACCATTGGCCAAACTGACAAAAGAAAAACAGGAGAAGAAGCAAATAACCTGAATAAGAAATGAGATGGGCGATATCACAACAGATGCAACTGAAATTAAAAGAATCATAACAGAATACTATGGAAAATTATACTCCAACAAATTTGAAAACCTAGAGGAAGTGGAAAAATTTCAAAAGAGATTGGCTGAAGACACAATCTAATCTAGTAGATTGAGTCCTGCCTCATTAACATCACTGCCACTAATCCTACCTCATCAACATCATAGAGAGAGAATTTATAACACACAGGAAAATCACATCAGATGACAAAATGGTAGACAATCACACAGTACTAGGAATCATGGCCTAGCCAAGTTGACAGCTATTTTGGGTGGACACAATTCAATCCATGACATGGACCAGTACACAACATCATGATGAATGGAGAAAAGATTGAAGGTGTCAAGTTTTCATTTTACTTCGATCCACAATCAATGCCCACGGAAACAGCAGTCAAGAAGTCAAACGACACATTGCATTGGGCAGATCTGCTGCAAAAGACCTCTTTAAAGTGTTGAAAAGCAAAGATGTCACTTTAAGCACTAAGGTGCACCTGACCCAAGCCATGGTGTTTGCAATTGCTTCATACACATGTGAGACCAGGACAGTGAATAAGGGAGACCAAAGAAGAATTGATGTCTTTGAATTATGGTGTTGGCGAAGACTATTGAAAATACCATGGACTGCTGGAAGAATGAACAAATCTGTCTTGGAAAAAGTACAGCCAGAATGCTCATTAGAAGCAAGGATGGCAAGACTTCATCTCACATACTTTGGACGTGTTTTCAGGAAGGACGAGTCCTAGAAAAAGAATATCATGCTTGGTAAAGTAGAAGGTAAGCGAAGAAAAGGAAGACCGTCAACGAGATGGATTGACACAGTGGCTGCAACAACGGGCTCAAGCATGACAACGGCAATGATTGTGAGGATGGCGCAGGACCAGGCAGTGTTTCACTCAGTTGTACACAGGGTCGCTATGAGTCGGAACTGAGTTGACAGCACCTGTCTTAGTCATTTAGTGCTGCTATAACAGAAATACCACAAGTGGATGGCTTTAACAAATAGAAACTTATTCTCTAACAGTTTAGGAGGCTAGAAGTCCAAATTCAGGGCACCAGCTCCAGGGGAAGGCTTTCTCTCTCTGTCGGCTCTGGAAGAAGGTCCTTGTTATCAATCTTCCCCTGGACTAGGAGCTTCTCCGCACGGGAACCCAGGGTCCAAAGGACATGCTCTTCTCCTGATGCTGCTTTCTTAGCGGTATGAGGTTCCCCTCTCTCTCTGCTCACTTCTCTCTTTAATATCTCAAAAGAGATTGGCTCAAGACACAATCCAATCGTGTAGATTGAGTCCAGCCTCATTAACATAACTGCCTCTCATTCTGCTTCATTAACATCATAGAGGTAGGATTTACAATACATAGGAAAATCACACCAGATAATAAAATGGTGGACAATCACACAGTACTGGGAATCATGGCCTAGCCAAACTGACACACAGATTTTTGGGGGACACAGTTCAATTCATGACAGCACCTGACTACACTAAATGCCAGGCCTGTTGTGGACTCTGGGCCACGCTCCTCTTGTGGGTTACTGCACGGCCTCCTGTTTACATACTCCAGTCAATCACTTACCCCCGTGAGAGGAGTAAATGCGGCAACCGTATGCGTGTCCAGCACATAGTACAGTTAGAGACGGTAGCTAGTACTATCACGTACCATGCTTTGATCTTGCCTTCTCACCATTTCTGGTTTATTATCTCTCTCCTCACCGCCACCTCCAGATGGTGGTTCCTAGCACAATGCCTGGCATAAACTAAGCACTCAACTGACATTTGTGGAAGGAAGGACTGAACGTTCCCTGCTGGTGGGAGTAAGCCCCTCGCTTTAAGTAAAGCCTCAAATTCAGATATTCAAATAGTAATTTGACCACGTGCTTCTGAGATTCTCTGAAACCAAGGCGGTTAGATTGTTTTGGTGAAAGGGTGCCTTTTCTTTCATGGCTGTCATCCTGGAGAACAAACATGCTCTGCTAAAGTGCAGCTGACCCTCAACTGTTTGTGGAACAGAAACAAGCAGCTGGGAGAGCCTCAGCAGCGGCATCCGGGTGGGCTGTGACTCTGCTGAGCCCCTCACACCAGTGCTGGGCCAGCAACATTCTCAAGCGCTGAATCCAGGCCAGTAAAACAGATGTTTCCAAGGGAAGGAAACAAACATTGTGAGATGCAGCCTGCTTTTAAAGGCACGCAAATGGACCATGACGGTGCCCGCTGAAAGTCTTGGTGACACAGTCCCAGTGCCTGATCTGGTTCGTGAGGCTTCAGGGAAACCCTGGAAAGTTGTCATGGTCTGGGCACTGGGGTGACAGTGAGGATACTGGGGTGACAGTCAGGGCACTGGGGTGACAGGGCACTGGGGTAACAGTCAGGACACTGGGATGACAGGGTACTGGGGTGACAGTGAGGACACTGGGGTGACAGTGAGGATACTGGGATAACAGTCAGGACACTGGGATGACAGGGCACTGGGGTGACAGGGCACTGGGGTGCAGGGAGGACACTGGGGTGACAATCAGGGCACTGAGGTGACAGTCAGAACTGGGGTGACAGTCGAGGGCACTGGGGTGACCATCAGGGGTACTGGGGTGACAGGATACTGAGGTGACAATCTAGGGCACTGGCGTTACAGTTGAGGGCTCTGGGGTGACAGTCAGGGCACTGAGGTTTCATCTCTGCACGTAACCTGGATCTCCCGGGCTGCTCCAGCCTCTAGCCGGGAGGTGTGGCTCAGAGGGGCTGTTTTAACAGGGTCAAATCTTTTCTTTTTGGCAAAAACTTTCTAGACATCTAAAGACCATAACACCAATGTGATAATTCCATTTCAATGTATTCACCGCCTGAGCCCATCCTTCACCTCCTAGTGAGTACTGCCACCCCGCACAGGGATGGTGGATGTCATGAAGACAACGGCGCAGATGCTCAGGAAGAGCAGAGATGACCGTGAGTGAGCCTGGAGGTTGTTAGGGTTCTGTGGGAATCCCCGCTCACCCTCAGTGTGGGAGGGCAGAGTCAGGGGCTGGTGGCCAGGCCCATTCCACAGTCAGTGGGGTTCTCTCTCCAGGCCCGGGAGGGGTAGCACCTGGGGACTCTGGCAGCCCGCCTGGCCCAGAATAACAAGGCTTTGCTGCCCCTTCCTGTAAGTGCCACCCTACTCTCCCTACCTGCTGGCTGACTCTGAGGGCCTTGATTTTTTTCCATGCAAATATTCTTTGGAATGAGGCTGATTTAAAGAAAGGACGATAAAATAGATGCACATGTGAAAACTCCTAACCAGCATAGTCTGGACCAAACAAACCACAGATGTCAGACTATGCCTTCCAGAAAGCTCTTGGAAGGCAACACGCCATGTTTCCCCATAGCAAAGAAGGAAGTAGAGTCTCTATGAATGAGTAGGTAAGTCTCTGATGAGGCAAGACGTGGGTTATCATGAGAATAATAATTAACACTAAGTGTCCACTATGTGCCAGGCTTTGTTCTAGAATTTGACATGTACGTATACCTCTCCTAATCTTCAAAGCGACACAGTAAGAACTATTATCCCCATTTTATAGCTGAGGAAACAGGTTAAGTCAGTTGCTGAGGTCACACAACTAAGCTCCACAGAGCGTGACCACCAAATCTTGCTCTTAACAATCAAAGTGACTATGATTCTCAGAACATAACAAAGTACCCAGCATGGGTCTCTCACACTAGAGGGCATTTGAGGCTTCAGGCTGGGTGCCAGTACGAAGATACCTCTCAGAAGCTTGTCCAGTTCCCTCAGGGGGTCCGTGGTGCTCCTCGACAGGGCCACAAGGTACAGCCTGGTCAGGGTCTTGGACTGGAAAAGCTGGGGCTGATGGAGTTCCCACTTGTAGCCCAGGCATTCGAGAATCACGTCTGAGGAGAGAAAATACTGCTGAGCAAACGATGCAGTAACGTCCCTACCCAGAGGTGGGTTCACTTCTCCCACGTCTTCATTCGGTCACCGCTGTGAAGCAGACATACTGAGCATGAGGTTTTGCTAGACCTTTCAGGAACAAGACGATGAGTAGGACAGTACTTACTGATTTCTACAGGGATTAGACAAACAGTCTTACCAGATGACATAGAAAGTGACAAACATCCAAAAGAGCTCTCAACCAACAGCTGTAGGATTTCAGAGGCACACAAGCTCCCCTCCAGTTTAGGGAGTTGGGAAAGCCTTCTCAGAGCAGGAGCACTGGCTGGGACCCTTGGGGTGGGGTGGGGGCTCATCTTGCCTTCCCTCTTAAGGGAAGTCTCAGCGTCGGCACTATTAGCACTTAGGGTCAGGTAATTTTTTGTTGTAGGGGTTGTCCTGTGCATCGCAGAATGCTTAGCATCCCTAACCTCAATCCACTTGGTGCCAGTAGCACCCCACACCCAGTGTGACAACCAAAAATGTCTCAGGCATTGTCAAATTATCCCCTAGGGAGCAGAATCGCCCTCCCTCCACCACTGAGAACTGCGGCACTGTAGTCGTTGGGTGCCATCGAGTCGATTCCGACTCATAGCGACCCTATAGGACACGGCAGAACTGCCCCACTGGGTTTCAAAGGCTGTCATCTTTACAGAAGCAGACTGCCACATCTTTCTCCTGAGGAACAACTGGTGGGTTCAAACCACCCACCAGTTAGCTCCCCTGCACTTCAACCACGGCACCACCAGCCTACTCCTTGTTGGGCCGTTAGTACCTAATTATGACCCATCTGAAAGCCTGCAGCAAAGTGCAGTACAGTGCAAGACATGGCGCCCATCACAAGAGAGGTGGGTACCTGCGAGCCTTGCTTTCCTTGGGGGAGTGGGATCATCACGGAGTCCACCTCAAGGGTATGAAATGAGATCGCACCGTGAAGAAGGCTCTTTGCAAATTGTAAAGGACTTCATGAGTGGGAGTCTAACCTGTGGTTGGCACAGGTGATTATAGAAGGAAGAGGCTTTGATGGGTGGCCAGATGAGGGATCCAGGATGCCAGGCCAGATGAGGCACGAGAGTGCTGTGTATGCTCCTGTGTTAGTACAGAGCTGGGGAAAGGGACAATGCACCCGGAGATCCCCCAAAACCCGAAACCTCAGTGCCAGACAAGACCTTAGAGGTTACAAGCCCCATCTACTTATTTCTCAGCTTGGCCCTTATTTGACTGTGTGACCTTGGGCACCTCCTCCCTCTTCCTCTTACTATTACTGTTATTCACCATCTCTATGATATTGTTAGGAACCTTGGTGGTGTGCTCAAACGGTTAAGTGCTTGGCTGCTAAACAAGAGGTCAGTGGTTCGAACCCACCCAGTGGCTCAGCGAGAGAAAAGACCTGGCAGCCATAGGAAACCCTATGGGACAGTTCTACTGTGTCACGTGGGGTTGCTATGAGTCCACTTGACTTGACATCAGCTAACAACATGATATTGTGCTGAGGATTGGAACCTGGGTTTGTATCTCAAACCTTGGACAGCCCTGGGACTTCTTAGGTGGTCTGGTTGTGGTGGGATAGAAAGAACTCCACCCATTAGGGTGATTATGGGCAGAAGTAGAATTGTGGATAAAGCATGGTCCCTAACTGGACATCCATTTCTGCTTTCAAACCGGCAAATATGGTGCAGACATCACTAATCAATCCCAGTACTCTCTCTTACAAGCCAGGAGATGGCCTCAGAACACTTCTCAGGGCTACCAGGCCAATCTGAGTTGACAGGAGAGAAGAAATCTATTAGTCTCCCCTTGGAACGGAGACTGACTCTGATCTCAGGTAGCCACACTGGGGCTGGAGTTTATCCTAGAAATGTTTCTTAAAGGCGTTCACCTGTCTAGGATCCTCAGGAGGCTCAAAGAACCTTTCCTAGCTGGAGGGCCTATTTTGATTCCCAATCCTCCCGCTTGCCAACAAGTGCAAATGTGGACATCCAAGTTATGACTGGTTAGAGCCCAACCAGACGAATAAGTAACATCATGATAAATGGAGAAAAGATTGTTGTCATTTTACTTGGATCCACAATCAACACCCATGGAAGCAGCAGTCAGGAAATCAAAAGACCCCTTGCAATAGGCAAATCTGCTGCAAAAGACCTCTTTGAAGTGTTGAAAAGCAAAGATATCACCTTGAAGACTAAGGGGCGCCTGACCCAAGCCATGGTGTTTTCAATCGGGTCATATGCATGCGAAAGATGGACAATGATTAAGGAAGCCCAGAGAAGAATTGACGCCTTTGTGAATCGTGGTGTTGGCGAAGAATATTGAATATACCATGGACTGCCAAAAGAAGGAACAAATCTATCTTGGAAGAAGCACAACCAGGATGTTCCTTAGAAGCAAGGATGGCAAGACTACGTCTTACATACTTTGGACATGTTATCAGGAGGGATCAGTCCCTGGAGAAGGACATCATGCTTGGTAAAGTACAGGGCCAGCGAAAAAAAGGACCCTCAACAAGATGGACTGACACAGTGGCTGTAACAACGGGCTCAAGCATAACAACGACTGTGAGCATGGCGCAGGACCGGACAGTGTTTTGTTCTGTGGTACATAGGGTCGCTATGAGTCAGAACCAACTCGACGGCACCTAACAACAACAGAGCCCGAAGGGATGAAGAACGTCTGCTCTGTGACTGACGGTACTTCGAATTCAATCCAAATTATATGTACTTGCCTCAGCACGTCTGTCTTTCTCACGGCGATTCGCATGCTAAAGTGTGTTTGCCAAGCTTGGTTTCATTCCTCGTTTATTTGACAAGTATTTATGGGGCACCTGTTATGTTAGACACTGGGCAGTGGACACAAATGACAACTTACAGAGCAGTGGCCTGGCCTTCCACAGAGACCAGGAGACCCCACTGGGGGCAGTAACATTCTGATCTCACACACTGGTGGTAAGAACTCACCTGCCTCCCCACTCTGGATGGCCTTGTTCTTGAGATTTTCAGTGAAAAGTTTCTGAATCTGTGTAACGTATACCCTTAAAGAAAAATACAAACAAAAAATCCAGGATTTATTATAAATATTTTTCTCCAAATGCAACATGTATCATTTGCGTGTAAGCTCCCCCAAAGTACCCGCTAATCAATCCTGTTGTATCTTGCCCTTTGGAAGAGTTTACTCAGGTCATCGTTTATTTGCCAATTTTATAAACTGTAGGCGCTGTCAGATGGCTGACTCAACGTGTTCATTCCTGTTTCCACTTTGTGGATAGGCCTTACGGAGGAGTTATTTGAAGCTGCTTAAATGGTACCTCTGAGCCCTGGAGACTCAGTGGTTAAGAGCTCAGGCTGCTAACAAAAAGGTTAGCAGTTTGAATCCACCAGCTGCTCCATGGAAATCCTATGGGCAGTTCTACTCTGTCCTGTAGGGTTGCTATGAGTTGGAATTGACTCAATGGCAGTGGGTTTGGTTCTGGGTTTTAAACGGTACCTCTTTTGGTGAGTGTCTAAAACAAGGCCTGGCATGCAGGGGCTCAAAAGATATACTGGAGACAGGAATAGTTCTGCTACTTTCTGGGACGTTAACTCACCAACGCTGCTGTTTAGAGGTCATTCAGGCCCCAGCCTCAATTTGTCCAAAAACTGAACTCAGAATCTACCCCTACCCCACCCTGCTCCTCTGCCTGGCCCCCCTGTGTCAGGAAATGCCACCACCAGCCTCCAGCTGCCTCAGCCAGGATCCTGAGCGTTACCAGTCCGATCTACTCACCTAGATTCACTAAATATCTTTCGAACTCATCCATCTCTTTTCACTCTTTTTGCTATAACCTTCATCCAAGCCACCATCCAAAACCAGAACAATAAAACCCACTGCTTTCGAGTCGATTCTGACTCATAGCGATGCTATAGGACAGAGTAGAACTGCCCCCACAGAGTTTCCAAGGCTGTAATCTTTACAGAAGCAGACTGCCATCTCTTTCTCCTGCAGAGTAGCTGGTGAGTTCGAACCGCCAACCTTTTGGTTGGCAGCCAAGCACTTTAACCTCTGCGCCACCAGGGCTCCTTAAGTCACCATCACCTTCCCCCTAATCACTGCCACAGCTCCCAGCCTCCAGCCCTGCTCCCCTCTGACCCACTCCCCACACTGCAGCCTAGAGACCATCTGAAATGCAAATCGCATCATGCCTCTCTCGGCTGAAAATCCTTCAGGTCTCCCCAGGGCTCCTCAGGTAAAGTTCCAACTCCTTGGAAAAAGCCACAAGACCTCCTGATGTCTGTTCTGCTTCTCTCTGCACCCTCAACTCTCAACACCCCTTACTCCAGCCCTTCTCGACCGCCTGAACCCACTGTCTCGCTTCCATTCTCTGCTGTGTGCTGCTCTCTCTGCCTGGAGTGCTCTCCTCCCCTTCTCTTCACTTGATGAGTTCTCCTCATCCTTCAGTATAAGCTCAGTGTTGCTGTCTCTGAAGGCTGTGTTCAGTGGCCCCCTCTGCTCACTCTGGGGTTGTGCCCATTAAGGTCTTTTTGTCGGGTCTTGTGCTTGTCTATTTGCTTGAGTGTCCTCTGCACCAGGCTCTGTGTTCTGGAAAGATAGATACTGTGTTTGTTTAACACGGCACCAGTCACCCCAGCACGAGCCACCATGCAGGTGCACCATCAATATCTGTTGAATGAACGAAGGACGACGTAGATAAGATGCTTTTCCATAAAGGCCATGTACTCATCATACTCAGCAAGGAAATAAAACAGTATTTGAGTCACATATTCACAGTCTAATGACTGTCATCTCAAGAAAGCCAACCATCCAAGGAACACTTGATGATGACATCTGTCTGGGTAATGCAATGTCAACCTTGCCAGGCTGTTTTCCAACGATCCCAGGGGACCTCACCGGCCAGGGGCGTGGAGGGGGGTGTGGGTGGGGGCCTGTATCCAGAATAATATCACCTACGTGCTGCCCTTTCCAAGGGGAGAGGGTGGCTACAAGTGACTCAGTCTCAGGAAGGAGGTGGGAGCTTCAGTTGTTTATCCAAGAGGAGGAGTGAACCTGACTCAAGCCACCCTTAATCCCCCTGGTGGCTTGTGTCACACATCTGGGGACAGCTGACTGGGGTCAAGAGCTCAGACCGTGATCTCAAAATGGAGCAATGGACTTTGGAAAATATGGGGCAATGCCATGAGCTCAACCGCCCTTACAAACATCACTGTCATCGTCAGCTGAGCCAGGAGGTGCCAGACAGCAGAAGTAACCACGATGACCGCTCCTGGGTGTGATGGGTGCTTGGCAAGATGTATCATTTATCACGAGGCTCTGCAGACCCCAAGGCCTGGCTTTTATTTTAGGAATGTGGGAAAGGCTAATGAACTGAATGGCATCTGTGAGTTGTCTCTTCTCTGGGACTAGAGATGGTTGTTGTGTGTTGTTGAGTCGATTCCAGCTCATGGTGACCCTATATGACAGAGTAGTACTTCCACATAGGGTTTCCTGGGCTGAAATCTTTATAGGAGCAGATCGCCAGACTTTTCTCCCGAGGAGAGGCTGGTGGGTTCGAGCCATCGACCTTTCGGTTAGCAGCTGAGTGCTTAACCATTGCACCACCAGGGCTCCTTTGGGACTAGAGACTAGTTGGGACTAAATGGCTTGTGATGAAGCAGCATGAGGGGATGTTGGGATGTGCTGTTAGGCTGGGAGCTCACTCCCCTTAGTTGTGACCTATGGCAAAGAAAGGAAGAGGGGGAAGGGAAATTTATTCATGTGTCTAGTGGATGTATGGACTTCCTGCAGCAACCAGCAAACCAGTGCTGCTGGTGTGGTACTTTGAACGTACAAAACTCCAGATTGATTTATTTCCTGGATAGAGTCACTCAGACGTGGGCCTGGATCCCAGTCCTTCCGTTTCCTAGCCCCATGACCCTGAACTATCCTCTTGGCTTCTGTGTGTTCCTCCGTAAGACGGAGACAATGACCCATGTTGCTGGAGAGAAGTAAAAGGGCAAATGCTTATGAAATGCTTGGCACTCAGCACACACTCAGTTACATTTCGCGTTCATTTGCCTTCCCTGTTAATATCTTCATTTTAGATAATAGTCCTCAAGAAGCCTGACTTAGTTTGGGCTCCCCTCAAAGCAGACCTTGAGACAAGGATTTGGGAACAAGTAGGGTTTTGTGGGTGATGGCCCCAAGAAGCACAGGTCAAAAAGTGAAGGAGTGAGTCAAGGATTAAAGAAAAAAACAAAAACAGTTGTCATCAAGACAATTCCAACTCATGATGACCTCATATGTTGCAAAATAGAATTGCACTCCGTCAGGTTTTCAAGGCTGTGACCTTTTGGAAGCAGATCACCAGACCTTCCTTCCTTTTGGAAGAACCTCTGAGTGGATTTGAATCTCCAACGTTTTGGTTAGTAGCCATGTGCTTAACCCTTTGCACCACGCAGGGACCCAGTGAGTCATGGATAAACCACACCAAACCCGTTGCTGTCAAGTTGATTCCAACTCATGGTAACCCCATGCATTATGGAGTAGAATTGCTCCATAGGGTTTTCCTAGCTGTACTCTTTATGGAAGCAGATCACCAGACCTTTCTTCTGTGGTGCTGCTCAGTGGGTTTGAACCACCAACCTTTAGGTTAGTAGCAAACCGTTTGAGCCAGAGATAGGAGGATGCTAATCAAGAATGTGTTCATGAGGGGTCACTGCTGAGAACAACTGGGACTCAACCCCACTGTGTGGGAACCCTCGGAGAGACTGCGTAGGTCACATCTCAGAAGTGTTCCAATGAAGGGTGAGGGGTGGTTATCCACCAAACCTGCCTCTCATTGGTTGAAGGTCACTCCTGCGTAGGAGGGGTTAACTCTTGGCATTCCTCACGCCTGTCCTGTGCTCAAGCTAAACATACTCCCAGAGCCAGAGAACACCATCAAGCGGAGGAAGGGTAGGTTGAGGGGATGGGGGCCAGGAAGCGACATCAGCTACAGAACCCAATTTCTGGCTGCCATATTTGGCCATGTAAGAACCACTGCAGACTTTTGCTTTCACCTCGCCAGCTTCTATTCCCTCCTCTCTTAGCAACAGCCCCCAATTTCATTTGGACACCCACCCTCTCCCCGACTCTCAGACCATCAGGTTCAGGTACAGCTTTGCCCTCTGGTTTTAAGACCAGGCATCTAACCCAAGCGTAAGCTATTTAGTGCACTGCATCTTACTGGCAGCAACAAGTGCTTTAGGGATGCGCAGGTGACTACTTGGAGCTAATGAAATGCAGTAAGATTTCTCTCCCCCTAGACTTAAACCAGGAGCCCTGGTAGCGCAGTGGTTAAGCTCTCGGTTGCCAACCAAAAGGTCGGCGGTTGGAATCCACCAGCTGTTCCTCAGGAGAAACACGTGGCAGTCTACTTCCGTAAAGATTACAGTCTTGGATCGCTATGAGTCGGAATTGACTCAATGGCAATGGGTTAGTTTTAACCCTGAGGGGAAATAAGATGGCAACAGTCATCCAGCCCTACATCAAGGCTGAGAAGAGAGGCCATAAAGGGAAGATAGAGCCAAAGGATGGTGAGAGATGGAATCTCAGGGGCACCATTGACCTCTGAGTCCAGCTGAGCCTGAAGCTCACCTCCCCACTAGCCTTTTTAATTATGTGAGCTAATAAATCCCTTTTTTATGCTTAAGTCGTTTGGCTTGGGTTTTCTGACCTCTCACCGGGACTCCTGTCTGATGCAGGCATGGATACCAGAGGTCATCACCTCTAATCCCAGCTCACATGAAGCTGGTAAAAATCTAGGGGACCCATTTTTATACCCCTGCCCTTAGCGTGACCTCCTCCCACTCTCAGGGTGAGCTTGGTGTTGGGGAGAAAATCAGGCAGGTCACCCGCCGGGGAACAGGGAGGGCCCTGGCATCACAATCCTCCTTGGGGGAGTGGTCCACCCCTCAGCCCCGGCCTGAGACAGACCACTTCCCCTCCTGGACCTCTGTGTCTGAACATGCAAAAGAACCCAGTGACATTGCTTGATGGCTGTTTATATGTGCCAGACACTGTCCTAAGCTCTTTACAAGAATTATGCCATGTAAGTCTCAAAGCAACCTGATAAGGCAGTGTCCCCAGTTTACAGAGACATGAGCTAAGACACAAAAAGATCAGGCTCTTGAAAGGAAATCCGCATTTTCTCATGCTCACCCTCCCTTGCCCCACCCCCCACACGAGTCCCTGTGAAGATAAGCGTGACAAGGGGATCTAGATGGTCCTTGCCCAGCATCTCTCAGTGACCGCGCCGAGAGCTCGCCCGTCATGGCAGCCCACAGGCACTACAACCAGAAGGGAGTGGCCATCTGGGCAGCACCCAGGTGTGAACTCCTCAGGAGCACAATTATATCCTTGAAATAAGCTGGGAGCTAGCTTACACTGTGAGAGACTTCAAGCACTTAGCAAAACATAGCTTGGTCCAGCTCTTCTCAAAGTCAACAGCGCCCCCAAGTGGAAGAAGCAATCATAACAGCATCAATGACCATAACAGAGCTAGCTGGCTGGGGCAGGCTTAGAGAGCTGGGGTATGTTTTAGAGGCATGGGTACGTTGCATGGGGCCCTGGTGGTACAGTGGTTAAGAGCTTGGCTGCTAACCGAAACGTTGGCAGTTCAAACCCACCAGCTGCTCCACGGGAGATAGATGTGACAGTCAGGTTCTATAAAAATTACAGCCTTGGAAACCCTGTGGGGCAGTTCTACTCTGTCCTATAGGGTCTCTATGAGTCAGAATCAACTCGACAGCGGCTGGGTTTGGCATGTTGCATAAGGAACACTGACGGTGTAGTGATTAAGCGCTCTGCTGCTAACTGAAATGTTGGCAGTCTGAACCCACCAGCTGCTCCAAGGGAGAAAGATGTGGCAGTCCACTTCCGTAAAGATTTACAGCCTTGGAAGTGCATGGGGCTGTTCTGCTCTGTCCTCTAGTGTCGCTATGAGTTGGAATTGACTGGACGGCAGCGGGGCATGTTGCACGGTGCAATTCCACACCGCTCATTGGCCTGGGGGCTGTCATCTGATAGTTACCTGGAGCCTGAAGGTTCAGTAGAGTTAAAGGAATAAGTCCTTTATTTTACTACCTAAATGGAATAAAACATTTATTATGCTGTTCAAGCATGCGAACATGAAATAAACCCCTTATTTTGAAGACAAAACGTAACTTCCTGTTTGCTAAAGAAAACCAGCTTCCTCCCCACCGATTCCTCCCGCTACCTCTGCCCACACTTTTTCCTTAGGATTGCAGAGCTTCTCTCAACAAAGAGATGGAGTATATTTCTGCCCCTTGAGTTCGGCTATGTGACTTGCCGTATGACTTGCCTTGGTTGATGGGATGTTCGTGGACGTGATGTGGCCGAAGGTTTGCAAAGCGCTGGTGCAGCTGGGCTTGGCTATTGCGCCTCTGCTATCTGAGCCTTACGTACCCAGGCTAGCCCACCGTCCCAGGAGGAGGATGAGAGGCACGTGGCGCAAACTGCGGAGCTGAGCGGAGCCTAGACCAGCTGAGCCCCAGGTACTGAGTCAGCAGCCTGCTTAGGGGGCCCACTCATCTCAGTACCCACTGTTTCCCAGCATCACAGAAGAGGGGCCAATGTGTAAAGCTTCTCCCTGGAAAACTGTGCCTGGACCAGTTCCATCATTTGTGTTGGAGCCGAGGTGAAAGATGGGGTTGTTGGCTGGCAGAGCACCGGGCTGGGGCGTCCCGACAACAAAATCATCACGATCAATAACTAAAACTGCTGTTCAGGCTGTGAAGATAATAGCTCCGTTTATTCAGCATCTACTCTTCGCCAGGAACAGTGCTGAGCATTTTCAATATACTGTCTGATTTATCTTCACGATAACTCTTCAAGGGAGGTGCTATTATGACCATTTCATAGATGAGAAAACTGAGGCTTAGAGAGGTTAAGCCACTTGCCTAAAGGTCACAGAGCCAGTGCGTAGAGGAGCAAGGATTCCAACCCCTTCTGATAGACTGCTTTTAATAGTCCTAACACACAGGACCCACTGCCCTTGTCCTCAAGTTTCTGTGCCCTGCCCTCCTGCCCCCCATCTCCCTCCTCCCCCTGGCCACCAGTCCCAGCTTAGCTCAGCGATTGCACAAACCAACATCTGGAGACCAACGTCCCTGCTCATCTGCCCAGCCCACCACGATCAGTCTTCTGGATCAGTTGCCAATATGACCAGGCCCAGCTCCCCCTCCTGCTTCCCTAGCCTGGCCTTGGTGCTAAGGAACACAATGACCGTTGGCAGGAACGCTAAGACTTCCTCAGGACTCTAACCAAACAAAATGTAAAAATAAATTTAAGGCTGCTTAATGCCATCAACCGTCAATGCCAATAATGGCAACTCATGGCAGGCGATGTTTCTAAGATGGGATCACCAGAGAACTTGGACTTCAAATCCAATGGATTTTTGTTCAATCAAGTGGGGTGGGAGGTGGAGGCGGCTGGGGGGACTGATGCAGGGCTGGCCCAGAGGTCTAGGGAGATAAAGTTGGTTATTTGCTCAGCAACCATAGACCAAGCAGCGCCCCTGTGCCAGCTGCTGCCCTGGGGTACAGCCCACACTCTGGTGGATTCGACTCTGACTTCTCACGGCAGGTACTGCCAGCCCAGGGAGAACAGGGGCATCAGGCCAGGTCCAAGGCACCCGGGAAATGAAGTGCCCCTCTGGAATGGGGTCCAGCTCTGTGTCCCCAGGAGAAGCAAGGGAGAACTCAGTGTGTAGAGAAGCGATATCCAGAGCATCATGGGACTGAGGGAGGATCCAGCTTCTCATGAATGGGAAGCCAATTGATTGAGTGGAAATGGGCATTTGTAAGAGGTGTTCAGAGTCCCTGGGTGGTGCAAATAGTTAACACACTTGGCTGCTAACCAAAAGTTTTAAAAAAATCAGTCACTGAAAACCCTGTGGAGCACAGTTCTACTCTGACATACATGGGATCACCATGAGTTGGAATGGACTTCATGGCAACTAGGTTTAAGAGGTACCCAAACGCTGAGTTGGATACCTAGGTTTTGTTTATCTACAAATCAGCTGGTCTCTGGATGATGTACTTATAACAGAATCCTGTTAGGGTCCACAGTTCCCAATGCTAGGAAAATCTAGAGAAAAAAAAGAATTTCTCTCTGCACTTTTATCACCACAACAGACGTTCTCAGAGGAAGTAGTCACTTCTGGTCCCGATCATCCCTTAGGAAGGAGCCAGAAGGGACCTTCTCTGCCCTCCACTCAGTGAGAGTGGCCTGGCCATTGGGCACCTCCCCAGGAAGGTGGCTCGCCCTGATGAGCCATCCCCTGCCGTGAGCCGTGGATTCTCCCTACCTATCGGGGCTCCTCAGAGCCTCATCGAAGTCTATGCTCAAAGACTTGCACAGCTGGGAAAGTGCCAGCAGGTCACCCGAGAAAGACTCTTTGGGGAAACGCCACCTGTTGGTTGAGCCAGCGATTCGGCGCTCCAGGCGAGGTTTCTGCTGTTTGGTAAACAAAGAAAGAGAGAACAGCTTTCTTTAACCTTATCTAAGTGCCAGATTTTCCAAATTATACAGTGGAAAGAAAAGAAAGACAAATTTTAAAATGCTGGTTAATTTTCAAATATCACCAATATTCCTCAGGGGGCATCTTTTCAAGGCAAATAGATTGTATTCAGTAGGCTGAGAATTTCAAGCTACAAAGTGATTCAGAATTTAGGATCTTGGACAGGAGGTGTCAGAGGCAAAAGGTCAGGGAGAAAGATGGTTTCTTTGCAGGTAGCTCTGAAGAAGCCACAAGCAGAGATGGGATTATACATCAAGAGCTGTTCTTTAGGTGTTCGTCCTAATACCTGAGGAGATCTTGTGCAGGAACTTGTTTTTTAATTGTGGTAAAATACACGTAACATAGAATTCACTATGTAAATAATTTAAGAGTGTGATCCAGTGGCATTTAGGGCACTCGTAACGCTGTGCGACCATCACCACTACCCGGTGTCAGGTTTTCATCACCCCAGAAGGAACTCCCAGACCCCTCCCCACCCTCTACCCCCAGTCCCTGGTAATTATCAATCTGCTTTCTGTCTTTATGGATTTGCCTATTCTGGATATTTCATATAAACAGAATCATACAATATGTGGCCTTTGGGGTCTGCTTCATTCACTTAGCATGATGTCTTCAAGGTTGTATGTTGTAGTATGAATCAGTACTTCTCTGTATTTTATGGCTGAATAACGTTCCATTGTATGGAATACTGCATTTTGTTTCTTCATCGGTGGATGGACATTTGGGTTGTTTCCACCTTTTTGCTAGTGTGAATAGTGTTTCTATGAACATTCATTTTTGTTTCTGTTTGAACCATTTTTGTTGGAATTCTTTGGGTATATACCTAAGAGTGGAATTGCTGGTTCATTGGGCAGGGACTTTTACCCAGAAATTTTCTTGAGATCCTGGGGCTTCAACAATTTCCTTAAGAGATAGGAAACTATGCAGCATGGATATAACCCTTGGACTTGAACCTAGCCAGAAAGCCTAACAAGGGAAAGAACGCCTGTGAGGCACCCCTAGGAATGGATGCAGCTGGTGCTCAGCTGCACCAGGCACCAGCGGAGTGGTGGGGACACCACGGGCCACGGAATGGAGGATCTGAGTTCAAATCTTGTTATTATAACTTACTAGTTGTGTGACCTTGGGCAAGTCATGTAACCTTCTGAGCTTTCTAGTTCTCATATGTAAAATGAGAATGATGACAATGATGGTGAGGATGAGGATGGTCATGATGGTGGTGATGGTGGTGATGACTGTGGTGTTGATGACGGTGATACCATCTTGCTTCCAGAGTTGTTAAAAGGATCAAATAAACATAAAGTTTGGGAAATGTGCCTTGGTATAGTGCCTAGAATATGGTGGGTGATTGAAAACTGTTTGTGGAATCTGAGTCTAGATGTAGTCCTGCTACAGTGTGAGACATGAATGATGGTCAGCTCGGACAGTGGACTGCACTGTTTTCCTGACAGTGCTGCCTGGACATACGCTTTCCAGCAGAGGTGGCCAAGAAAGGCTGTGGTCCTCCATGGTGCAGGATGGGTCCCCTTGTGGAAACTCAGCAATACAACCCTAACCAAGTGCCCCTTCTACTCACTGTTATGAAACCCATCTACTTACCCAATTCAACATTTTCATGAATGATAATGGAGATTACACAGGGGGAAGAGAAACTCCTGGAAGACAGTAAAGAGGTAAAGTTTAAATTTTAATAAAATTTTCAAAGGATCTCTTCAAAATATTATGGAGGAAGTTGGTCTAATGAATCTCTGTTTTGCCACAAAAGTAATAATGAAGAAGCCTAAAGTGTAGGTTATTTATCAAATCAAGAGAATATCTAAGTTTTTTTAAGTACATGAGTAGCAGACGATTGCTACTGGGGTTTGGAAGAGTGGCTCAAGAAAAGCAAAACAGGAAGTGGCCCATTCATTCACTTAACCAGTATTTTCTGTGCAGCTGTGATGAGCAAGGAAAGTCCTAGCTGTTTCTGGGGTAAGGCAGTAAGAAAACAACATGAGCCCCGCGTCATGGAGTTTCCTTCCCACCTGGGGAGGTCAGGTTTGCTTTCCTTTCTACCTTAATTATATTTTTATATTGCAAAATTAATATATGCTCATTGTAACAAGTGAACCAGTAAAATGATAGGTAAAGAAAAATTTAACAATAGCTGCATAATATTTCATACCATGGATGTATCATCATTTATTAAAATATTTCCCTGTCACTGAGGTTGTTTCCCATGTTTGACTCCTACAAACAAGGCTGCCATACACACACACACACACACACACACAAACACACACTTAGGTATATCTATAGTTGTCATCTAGAGCTGTTATTTATATCTGTATCTATATATGTCTGCTTATATGTTACTGCTTTCATTTCTATGAAATAAATTTTTCCAAAGGAGATTGTTACTCAGAAGACATGTATCTTTAACTGAAATAGACAACACCAACTCACTTTCCCAAAAGTTGTAGCAATTCTCACCCCCATCATCAATTTACTAGTGCTTTTCCCCACGTCATCTTCAGCACTAGGTATTACCATTAGGTTTATGTTTGCTAGTCTGGTGAATGACAAATCAGATTGTTATTTTAATTTGAATGTCCCTGACTGCCATTGTGGTTAAGTATTCTTTCATATAATGCTGCTTACATTTCCTTTTCTGTAAATTGCCTCATCATGAGCTCTCCCATTTTTGGGTTGGATTGCTATAGTCCCCTTAGCATTTTTTAGGAGCTCTTTATATGGCGGGGACACTAACCTTTTGTCTGCCATGCATGCTGCAAATATTTTCTCCAGTGTATCTCTTGTCTTTTCGCTTTGCTTATATTGAACAGATTATTAAATTAGGTATGGAAAACATATCAAATATATCTATTTTCCTTTGACTAACTCTAATTTAAAAACTTGCATATTGAATAGATCTATTTCCCTTTATGGCTAGGTTTCAATCTTGCTAAGAAGGCTTCTCCCACTCCCGGGTAATACACATGTACTTCTCTGATCTGTTTTGCACACTGGACGGAGTCAGAATGATCTTTCAACTCCCCAGCTTAAAACCCTTCACCAGCTTCCCACTGCCTTAGAATCAACTCCAAATGTTCAACATGGCCTAAAGGAATCTGAGAAGAACGTGACATTCTAAAACAGATCTTTCCACACCTGGGTGGGACACTGGCATCCAGTTTAGAGGGGGAGGGAGGCTGGGAGTTTGGTACCCAAGCTCCTGCTTTCTTTGACCCAATACCCATTGCCGTCAAGTCGTTTCAACTCATAGTGACCCTAGAGGACAGAGTAGAACTGCCCCATAGGATTTCCAAAGAGCAGCTGGTGGATCAAAACTACCGACCTTTTGGTTAGCAGCTGAACACTTTGAAATGTCTTTCTTCTATTTTCATCACGCCAGAAGTATGCGACCTAATGGATTTGAGAGCCAGTTCTTAAGTTGCTTTGAGTTGGCAGGAGCCACATGTGACAGTCCTGTGGACCCCTGCTTCCCATTGACAAGAGCAGCCTGGAAGCCCAGAAGCCCCTCCCTAGCAGGGTAACCAGAAGGGGCCAAGTCCACGCAACACTTGTTACCTGAGATGCCCTTCTTTGTCTCTAAAGGGGTTAAAAGTACCAGCCACGTACTGTTCCGAAGCGCTGGTGTCCTCCCAGGAGCGATTACAGGGCCAGCTTGCCGGATGTAGGAGCTGCCATTGCAGGGGTCTCGGCACTGTGCTTGGACAGCCTCTGGGTTACAGGGAAGCTGGGCGTGTCCACCTTCTGAGCCTGAGTCCCGAAAGCTCTCATGACACCTGGGGCTGTCCTTTTCTTCTTATTGTCCAAGTTGCTCTGAGGGGAGCTTGCCTTTGTTTCCAAGGGGCCTGTGTGGGTGCCATGGTAACTTCAGGGAAGGTTCCGGGCACTTCCTGTTCCAGGGCCTGCCCTCAGGGGAAGAAGCTGGGGGCTGTGTTCAGGGGTCTCCCTGAGGGAAAGTGAAGCTCTCACAGGCCTGGGCTGCCTGAGGGCCTTACTGTGGGAGGGATAGGGTGCTAGGCACTGCCTCTTCAGCCTCCTCCTCAGGGGGCGGAGCTATGCCTTTTGCCTTGCAGTGCCATGCTTTCTTACTCACCTGAGGTAACCGGGAGATTCTCTGAAAGAGCCCTGGAGAGACTGCCTCAGGCTTTGTCTGAAACATGACGAGTGTTACGGATTGAAATTGTGTCCCCCAAAAATATATGTTGTAAATCCTACCCCTTATATCTGTGGTTATAATCCCACTTGGAAATGGGTTTTATTTGTTACATAAATGAGAGGATTCGTGTAGGGTGTGTTTTAAGTCAATCTCTTCTTGAGATATAAAAGAGATTAAACAAGCAAGGGAGAGAAGCAGAGATGGGTTAAGATAGATGCCAAGCACATGGAGATCTCCAAGGAACCAGGAAGCAGAAGCTGAAGAGACAAGGACCTTCCTCCACAGCTGAAAGAGAGAAAGCCTTCCCCTAGAGCCAGCACCCTGAATTTGGACTTCTAGCCTCCTAAACTGTGAGAAAATATATTTCTGTTTGTTAAAGCCATCCACTTGTGGTGTTTCTGTTATAGCAGCCCTAGATAACTAAGACTGGACTAGAAGGTTCTCAGACATTTCCCGGCTCTGGCATTCTGGGTGCTATACTTCTAGCTTTTTGTATCCATACATGTTTTGACAAAAATATTAAAACAAAAATTGGAGTGTTTTACATTATTAAAAGCTATGCCTGATCATTTGATTTGTTGATGATTTTTATCTGCCTTGTCTGGGAACTAAGAACAGCCTTAAAGTTGGGGACAAGGCCAAGAACCTTCCTTCCGGGGGCCAGGGTGGAATCTTGCAGCAACTTTGTCTACAAAGCCCATGCCCTCAACTAGGGGGTGGAGAGATGCTGCCGCATCAGTCTCACCAATTGGAAACCTTAGTCTGTGAAAGCCCTGCCCCAGGGCCCACAAAAAGCCCGGGACTGCAGTTGGAACCTGAGGTCCAGTTGCAGTGGCTGGCCTTTGCCCCAGGGCTCACAGAAAGCCCAGGACTGCAGTTGGAAACTGGGGTCCAGTTGCAGGGGCTGGCCTTTGCCCCAGGGTGGCTGGCCTTTGCCCCAGGGCTCACAGAAAGCCCAGACTGCAGTTGGAACCTGGGGTCAGTTGCAGTGGCTGGCCTTTGTGGGCCCTCTCGAGAAAGAACGTTCTGAAGAGATAAGAAAGGCCCAGAGAGGAGGACCTGCTGACCTTAGAGGCAGGCTCTTACCCAGTCTGAGGGCTGCTTGTTAAGTCCTGCCATTTGTGGCATTTCTCCAGTCATGGAAACTATCAAGAGAAACAGGAAAAGCACCTGCTAGACCTACCTGTAATTGTGTTGTAGAAACTACAAAACTCCCTCTAAATGGGAGGCACCTCTGATTCACCTCCCTCCTCAGCCCTGAGATCTCATAATTCTCTCTCTCGACAGCCATGTTCTGCTTTGCAGAGAAGCTGGGTATGGTGGAGTGTTCTACAAGTGCTCCTCTCTAAGTCCGATCATACTTGGTCTTCAGGAAGTGCTCAGCAAATGTCTCTTGAGTTGGATGTACCAGTCCCTAACCACTTTGCTCTTGCAGATGGATGTGTACTACACGTTTGTGTGCATGTGTGTATGTATGTGTGCATGTATGTGTACATCCACTGGTACATGCTTGTGTATGTCTGCTTCAGTGTGGGTCATGGTCCTGGTGTTTGCACCCAACTGCCTTCTTCATTTGCAATTGCATCCGTGTATGTGTGTACATGTTAGCAGCTGCTATGGATTGAATTGTGTCCCCCAAAAATGTGTGAACTTGGCCAGGCCACGATTCCCGGTACTGTGTGGTTGTCTACCATTTTGTGATCTGATGTGATTACCCTATGTGTTGTAAATCCTAACCTCTATGATTTTAATGAGGCAGAATTAGAGGCAGTTACGTTAATGAGGCAGGACTCAATTGACTCAATTAGAGGCAGGTTGTATGCTGAGTCAATCTCTTCTGAGATATAAAAGAAAGAAGCAAGCAGAGAGGAGAGGGACCTCAAGACACCAAGAAAGAAGCACCAGGAGCAGAATGCATCCTTTGGACCTGGGGTCCGTGTGCGGAGAAGCTCCTAGACCAGGGGAAGACTGATGACAAGGACCTTCCCCCAGAACCGACAGAGCAAGAAAGCCTTCCCTGGGAGCTCGTGCCCTGAATTCAGGCTTCTAGCTTACTAGACTGTGAAAGAATAAATTCGTTTGTTAAAGCCATCCACTTGTGGTATTTCTGTTATAGCAGCACTAGATAACCAAGACGGGAGCTATCCTGGGCTGTTTAAGTTCTGCAGGAAGTAACTTCCAATACTGTACTGCTGCTCACAGCACGGTCTCTGGGTTTGTACATTTGGATCTGGACTTTGGGAGTGAAATGGGAGGCGGTTTCATAGCAGCTCATGCCTGACCCTAGCAGCTGTCACCTGGCTGGGGAAGCAGCGGGTGCTCAGGCTTCTGGTGCTTGGTAGAAGTGGCAGCAGCTGTTGGCAAAGTCGGGCTCTGAAGCTGGGTCAAAAGGAACTTGTTATTGCTCACCTCTCAACCTCGCTGCTCACCAGAGATGTGCACAGTGACGGGACCTGGTCGGGGAAGAAGGTGGGTTGCAAGGAGCAGTGACACTGCCTTCACTGCAAGGAGGGGGGGATCAGGAGCCCCATGTCAGGGCTGCCCTCCCGAGGCCCTGGGGTAGAAGCAGGCCCTCAAGAGCAGGCAGCAGGGCGGCAGGGTCCTCAGGCAAAGCCCGCACTCCTGGGCCGGGCCTGTGAGCCCCTCTCACACTTACAAATCAAGTATTATTTTTACAAACCTAACACATGTTCATAGGCACAAATTCAGAGGCAAAATTTTAACGATAAAAATCATTTGAATTCCACAGCCAAAGTTAGCCATCATTAACAGTACATTCTTTCAACATGTTGTTATTAATAAATACATTTTTAAAAATAAGCTGGAATCGACTTGATGGCAACTAACAACAACTAACTTTTTTAACCGATTTTTTCCACTTACTATGTCACGCGCATGCGTCAGGGTTGTATCCTTCCACCATACTTACACAATCTGTGCGCTGAGCAAATAATTGGAGAAGCTGGACCATACGAAGAAGAACGGGGCATCAGGACTCAAGGAAGGCCTGGGATATGCAGATGACACAGCCTTGCTTGCTGAAAGTGCAGAGGACTTGAAGCACTGACTGATGAAGATCAAAGACCACAGCCTTCAGTATGGATTACACCTCAACATAAAGAAAACAGAAATCTTCACAACTGGACCAATAAACAACATCATGATAAATGGAGAAAAGATGGAAGTTGTCAAGGATTTCATTTTACTTGGATCCACAATCAACACCCATGGAAGCAGCAGTCAAGAAATCAAAAGACGCATTGCATTGAGTGAATCTGCTGCAAAAGACCTCTTTAAAGTGTTGAAAAGCAAAGTTGTCACCTTGAAGACTAAGGTGCGCCTTTCCCAAGCCATGGTATTTTCAGTCACATCATATGCATGCAAACACTAGGCAGTGAAGAAGGAAGACTGAAGAAGAGTTGACGCCTTTGAACTGTGGTGTTGGCGAAGAATATTGACTATTCCGTGGACTGCCGAAAGAACAAACGAGTCTGTCTTGGAAGAAGCACAACCAGAATGCTCCTTAGAAGGGAAGATGGCAAGACGACATCTTACATACTTTGGGCATGTTGTCAGGAGGGATCAGTCCCTGGAGAAGGACATGATGCTTGGTAAAGTACAGGGTCAGCGAAAAAGAGGAAGACACTCAATGAGATGGATTGACACAGTGCCTGCAACAATGGGCTCAAGCATGACAACGATCATGAGGCTGGCACAGGATTGGGCAGTGTTTTCGTTCTGTTGTACATGGGGTTGCTATGAGTTGGAATCGACTCGACAGCACCTATCAACAATGTCACAGGCATTTTCTCCCTCTTCTGCATGACTGTTCATGGTGACATTGTGTTCCTCGGTGTGGGGGCAAATCATGACTAGCATAACTAGACCCTCTGGTTGGACATCAGATGGGGTCCAGGTCCTCAGACGGATGACATTTCTCTAGCCACCTTCCCTCTGCCCTGCCTTCCTGCTGCCACAGCCTGAGGTGCCAGGCCACCCATCAGACCAGACCACTCTCTTCTCCTGAGAGGGTGGATGGGACATCACCCAGGCACGCACCGCCCCCTCCTGCTCTTCTCCAACCATCAGGTGGTTCTTGGCACTCTTCTCTTTGCATTTGGGTCCACTGCGTCCTTCCTGGCCTGGTGCCAAGAGCACGGTGTGTGTGTGCGTGTGTGTGTTTGTGTGTTGGGGGAGGAGGGTCTCAGTGACGTCTGTGTACAAATGGACATATTCGCTCCTTTTGTGCCAGCGCTGTGGGAGACAGAACTGGTGATCTGCTCCTGTAAAAATGACAGCCTAAGAAACCCCACAGGGTAGTTCTGACTGTCCCGTGGGGTTGCTATGAGTCAGAATCAGCTCGACGGCACCCGACAACAACATGCTGCTCCCATCCCTCCTCCCATTCTGCCGAACTTTTCCCAGTGAGCTGACCCTGGAATGTAGGGCTCCGTGTAATATTTCAGTTAAAAAGTCTGACATACTGGACCATGCAGACATCCCACCCTTTCATCACGGTCAACTCAGGGATGCCCTCTGGGCACGAGTGGGGCACCACTCAGCGCAGGCCCTGGGTTCCCTCTAGTGGTCACTCAAGGCAGGACCCCTGGCCTTGGATCAGTCCAGGCCTCAGAAGATTGGGCCTGGGAGCGGGGGATGGTGCCCACCACTCTCTTATGGGGCTGAGCTCAGGGATCCTGGGTTCTCCGCTCAGATCTGAGGCAGCCCTGCCCAGCCGAGGGCCCCCAGCCTGGGGAGGTGCCACTGGACCATGGACAGCCCACGGGAAACACATGTGGGTGAGACAGAGAGCAGCCGAGTGCGCCAGCCTTACGATGACCTTCCCGGGTGGCCCACTGCTGTTCCCAGCCCGCTAACAAGGAGCATTGTTTTCATAGTCCATGAGAACAATAGGGGAGCTGAGCCTGGACTTGACAGCAGGGCCCCACATCAGACTGAAGAGTCCATGTAAGGGCCCACAGGCCACGTGGGCACACTTCCTCCTCTGGGCCTCTCTCTGCATCTCCTTCCGCTCCAGCCTCCACGCAAAGGAGCCTATGAGCCTGGGGACCTAGGAGCCCTGGTGGCACAAACGGTTAAGCGCTCGGCTGCTAAATGAGAGGATGGCAGTTTGAACACACCCAGCAGCTCCGTGGGAGAAAGACTTGGCAATCTGCTCCTGTCAAGATTACAGCCTAGAAAACCCTATGGGGCAGTTCTGCTCTGTTGCATGAGGTCAATTATGCGTTGGAATCAACTCAATGGCACCTAACAACAACAGGCCTTGTAGTCTTGGAGACCAAGGATCCAATCCTGGGGGCAGACACAGGATGCTTCCCAAGGGGTCCCCATGCCTCGGGGGGTCAGGTGTTGGCTTCCCATGCACTTCCCCTCATCCAGCAAAGTGAAACAAGGCGAGTCGTCCTCAGCAGCCAGTGCGTGGGAACACTTGCAAACATCTGGCATTAAAGTGATTGCGGGAGCAGTGGCGGACCTGGACCCCGAGAGTCTTGGAGGCCAGCACTGTGCTTTTTCATTGTCAGAACAGCCCTATGGGTAGGTACTGTGTGCCCTGGTACAGTAAGATTTGGGCCCAGAGAGGGTGTGTGACCTGTCTTCTGTGGTGCCTGTGGGTGGGTTCGAACCACCAAGCTTTTGGTTAGTAGCCCAGTGCTTAACCATTTGTGCCACTCAGGAAGTCCTAGGGGGCTGATGCACCTTCCCAATTTCTCTTTCTCCTGCCAGCTGCCTTTTAACCTAGGGTCCCCGAGCAAGTCAGGAGCAGTTAAAGAATTTAACAGCAGACACTTGGTTGGTTTAATCTAGAAGTGGCTTAATTACCTGTGTCCCACCGGTAATTACTTTCTCTTTCCTAATCCTTTAGAGGGGAATGGACTACGTTTCAGGTTGATCTTCGCACGTGAAGGCATTGAACAGGGAGACTGACAGCCTGCCACTTCTTGAGCCAATGCAGGAAATAGATTCCCCCCTTAAGGTCAAAGGAGCTTTGTAAAAAAAAAAAACGAAGCTAACTCAATATATTTGCTTAATTGTTTAAGTAACAAGTCAATATTTCTCGTTAGCTTCATCATACAAGCCCAGCGTCCCCGGCAATGAAGAAAATAGTATTTAAATTTATGGACAAAGAAATAAGCCCAGGCAGAGAAGAGCTAAAGGCCAAATCTGCTATTATGCAACCAAGGTGAGAAAAGATTCAACCCTTCCCAGAAAATAAACCATAGCCACACTTATTGCCAAGATCCAAAGGAAAAAAAATTTATTTACAATAGAGATTTTATTTGAAACATGCATTTTCTTTTCTTTCCTTTTTTTTTTTTTTAAACAAATCGTCAAACGCCGATTAAGTTTACACTCCTTAAGGCAAGAGTCCCTGTGCAAGCTGTACACGTTTATAATATTCAGTCCAAAAGCTGCTCACCCTGGGAACTCGGATACAAAGGGCAAAGCCAAGGTCAGCAATGTGTCTTTTATTAGAGAATCAGACAATCTCCCTGATACAGGAACTCTGAGGTCAACTTGCTATGAATTTATACTAGGGAAATGCAAACCAATAGCAAGAAATTCTGATAGTCTCCTTAGTACTGCATACAATCAAATCAATGTCATTTAGAAAGGAAATACAGTAGTGCATACGAAAAAGTCAAACGGCCTGTCCGTGTATCCGGGAGGACAGCAGTGTGCCGACGGTCATATTGCACCCAACGGTCAAGTCCAGACATTTGGTTCAAAGTTAGCTTTTCCCCATTTTGGCAATCAGCTCGTCACAAATCTTGGTGAGTTCTTCTATCTCTTTATTCTGAAAGTGAAGATGAGAAGGAAGTTGCTGATGTCCGAAATCAATCCAATCAGAAGGGTCACTGGGCTCTTTTGAGGGGGGTGGGGTCCACCAGGCCTCTTGGTCCCCCCAAAGTTATTGAAAGTAGCAAGAGAAATGACTTGGAGCCAAACAACCTGAGTATACATCATCCTAGCTCTAGCTGTGTGGCCTTGGGCAAGTTACACAACCCCTCTGAGCCTTATCTCCAAAACGTGGGTGGTAACGTCTGTCTCTCTGATAATTAAAGGAGAGAAAGAATGTAAAGTTCTCTACACAGTGACAGGCACTCAGGGGGCTTACCTAGCATTGGTTCCCTTCTTGGTTTGCCCTGAAGGATGTGGACTCAGAAGGAGGGTCTGGGGTGAGCTCTATGGTGGCTTTTTAAAGCAATGTCACAAGGAGGACTTAGGCAGTCTCCCTGGATGGGGACCACTAGCATTACGCCTAGAAACCCTGCAGAGTACAGCCCAAGGTGCGCCGAGGATGCACACTAGGCGGCGTTGTGGATACACCAGGTCTGGAGAAAGGCAGGGACGGACACTCGGGGGCAGATGCAGGATGCTTCGCAGGTGTTCCCCACACCCCCGGAAGCACGCCTCACCTGTCCTCTGACCCTACGCCAAGGGAATCGACCCACTGCTTGTTTAGCACGGCTCATTTCCCTCTCTACAACATTTTCCTCTCTAGGAAATGGGATCCAGCAGGCCGATCCTCCATCGCGGCTGGCCCAGCTCTACTCCTGGTCAGGCTGGGTGGCGAGCCCTAGGGTGCCACGACAGCGACTCGGCCCACGGCCCACCTGGCCTCCACAGAATGAGCCGGTTCAACATCTTTCTGGAATGCTGGGTCACGCTGTGTAGCCAGTTCCTCCTTGAGGTCCCACGGGACCTGCATCTTAACCGGAGCCTCTCCCTGGGGCTGTAGAGTCCCTCCCCGGGAAGGTGGAGCCTCCAGAGACAGGCCCCAGCCCGGAGCACCTTCTCCTGAGTTCCTGGGTAGGGCCCCGGGTGCCATCAGTCCGTGTGAGTGCTTGAGAAGAATCAGCCCTTCGCAGAGGGGGAGAAATGACATTCCCGCCTGCTGGGGGAGCCTGGCCTGGGACACTACCTCAGCCCCCTCGGGTCTAGAATTTACCGCTGAGGTCAACAGCTCAGAGGGGCGCTGCACGGGGTCGGGTGGGATCTGAATGGGATGCGGCACTTACACCACCCCTGCAATCACCACCACTGCTGCAGCTGCTGCTCGTTTCTCTGCTGTTATGGCGCTAAACACATCCCAGGCGCTACGATCTCACTCGGTCTCTTAAAGGAGACCATCATGATCCCCAATTGTCAGTGAGGAAGTAAGGCTCAGAGGGGTTAAGTATCATGCTTCAGCTCACAGAGCCAGTCAGATGTGGCAAGTCTGGCACGCAAATGCAGGCTGACCCGGCTCCAATACAGCTTTGCTATTATACTTACTAGAACTAACATCCACCTTCCGATGGCTGAGAGGCACCAGCATACCCATTAGCTACTGACTCCTGGAGGTTCGCCAAGCTCTAGCCTGGCACGGTCAGCTGCTGCCAAGTAAACTGCCCCGTGGCAGAGCTTAGCCCACTGTGCAAAAGTCTTTACAAAGCCCTGAGTCGGTGAAGTACCCACTGCTTCACACAAAGCTTGCCTGGGTGGATCACGGTTCTGGGTCTCCTTAAAACACGGGCTGTCCCCTATGCCAGGAGGGACTCTGTTCCCTGCCCACCCACCAGTAAGTACACTGGGTACAGGGCTGAAAGCACTATGCCGGGCACTTAAAAAAGAAAACAAACCCCATTGCCACTGAGTCAATTCCAACTCAGCAACCCTTTAGGACAGAGTAGAACCGCCCCATAGGGTTTCCAAGGCTGTCATCTTTACAGAAGCAGACTGCCACGTCTTTCTCCCGCAGAGCAGCTGGTGAGTTCAAAATGCCAGCGTTTCAGTTAGCAGCTGAGTGCTTAACCACTGTGCCACCAGGGCTCCTTGTCGGCACATAGCAGGTGCTTAAAATATGAGACAATGGATGAACGCTAAAAAGGGATGACACATGGCAATAAACACCCATGGAGGCGGTAGTCCAGGAAAGGCAGAAGGGAGCCGTTACGCTGGATCTTCGGGCGGGAGAGTGAGGACATGCCTGGGAAGCGTGAGTTGTAGTGGGAGCATCACCCTGGCTCTGTCTCAGGAGCAGCAGTGGGTGCTATAAAGGACAGCCTCTCACCCCTTTTTATTGGATGGACTGGCCGGCCGGCCCCAAGCGCAACGCCACCTGCCTGGAGGTGCCCACCGCTGCCCGTTACCTTCTGCTCCAGCGTCCTCTCCAGCGCGTCCACGCGTAGCTGCTCCTTCCGCAGGCTGGCCTGGTAGGCGGCCTGCTCTTGCTGCGCCTTGCCTCGGACCTGGGCGATCTCGGCATTGGCTCTGTGGGGATGGGGGTTCTGGGAATGTCACCATTCACCCTGGACGCCTCCTGCCTCCCACCCCTGGGCCAGGGCACAGTGTAGACCCAGCCCCAAATGACTGGGCCCCAAGCACAGGATGCCACGAGAACTGCCCCGACTCCTATTCCCATGATGCCAAAATGCACTGAGCGGGTATCCTAGAAATGACAACGTGCATCCTTTGCTTGTCAAAATAATGCTAACTGATAGTGTAAGGGCCCGGACTCATGGTGACGCCATGCACATCAGAACAAAACGCTGCCTGGTCCTGTGAGATCCCCATGATTGGTTTCGGATCAGACTGCTGTGATCCATAGGATTTTCACTGGCCGATTTTCAGAAGGAGATCGCCAGGCTTTTCTTCCTAGTCTGTCTTAATCTGCAAGCTTTGCTGAAACTTATCCAGCATCATAGCAACATGTAAGACGCCACTGAGGGATGCTGGTGGCTGCACTTGAGGTGCACTGGTCGGGAATCGCACCCAGGGCTCCTGCATGGGGGGTGAGAATTCTACCACTGAGCCACCAATGAGTAGGAAGGAGACATGATGGCACCTACCAGCAACAACAGTCCTTAACATGAACCACTTGAAAAAAACGCTCATGCATAATCCGCCCCCTCCAGGCCACCGCAGGGTGCCCTTGGACCCGGGCAGCCAGCGGTTCGGAGAGGCCCCTCCCCAGGCGCCGGGTGAGCGCCGCACTACCTGTCCAATTTCTCCTCGGCGTGCACCTTCAGGGCCTGGTACCTCTGCTCCTCTTTCTTCACTCGGGACAGGTACTCCTGGGCACACTTCTTCAGCACCTCTTCATTCTGACACCACAGAGGACAGGGGTCGAGCCCACAAGAAGAGATGCCCAGTGGCACTGGGAGCCCCAAGAATCCTCTGATGCAGGTATAACCCCCCAGACGCCGCAGCCTGTGAGAAGCCCCTCCTCACAGACTGCCTGCGAGAGCCCCCTCCCAGCGCTCCTCACGATCGTTCCCAACCTGTCCCACCTTCTCCACCCTCTCCCCACCCACCTGTACGCCCAGCCCCTGCTCGGCCCCGACACTAACACACCTTACGAAAGCCCTCCAGGACCTCTTTCATCTTCTCGTATCTCCTGAAAAGGTCGGCCAGCGATTTCTCCACGGAGTTCAGGTCGGCCAGGGCCTGCTCCTTCTCCACGACCAGCTGCTGGACGGTGTGGTGGGAGACGGACTTCTCCCGCTGCTCGTCCTCTGGCAGAAGAGACAGGAGCAAGACGATCAGGCCCGTGGACTCAAGCCGCGTCTCCGGCCCAGCGGAGCCCTCCATGCGACTTGGGCTAACTAGTGGGGTGCACCCGGGGCCCCGGCTTTTCTTTGGGATGAACCCACTCCCTGGAGACCACCCAGGGTCTGTCTCTAAAGGGAGGAACATCTAGAACCTGGGCCTGGGCAGCATCAGATGTGGTGGAAATTCATCACTATTCTTCCAACCTGATCCACACAGCCCCTTAAAAATATACTTTGGAGACCTCAGTGATTCTATTTGGTTGTTGACAACACACACATCCATAAAATTAAAAAAAAAAAAAAAGTCACTCATGAATTTTACATTAGGGAAGATGAAAAGGTGCTGCCGCCTGGGCTGTGAGGGTGACCTTCCTGAGTGGTACCAAGATAGGTTATGGTTGCTGGAAGAGAAAAAGAGGCTTTCTCATCTTTAAAAGACCCCAGGAGCCCAAGGCTGACATAACCGTCTCCCCTGAAATTCCATCTCGCATAAACAGGCAGCATTCTTGGCTACAGCGAGCGTCTTAACTCCAGGAGAATCGGGGCTCTTTATGTCCACGTAGGACGTGAGCCTCTCAGTTGTGCACCAAAGAGACAGGATTCTGGCTCGGTGCACAGCAGCGGAGCCGGGGGGGCACCTGCCCTGTGTCAGCTCCACCTCTCGGCCCTTGGCCATCACTGCGAACATTCCACCCCACGCCTCCTGATGGGCATTTCTCTGATGGCCATACATCACAGCCCCTCGCCCACACTGCACACGCCTCCTCAGTGCTGGCCCCTCACTGACCCCGGTGGGCGAGGAACCGTTTGTTCGGAACAGTCTGGAGCCTTGGTGATAGCAGAGAGCAGGGCAGGAGAAGCCCCGCTCCGAGCTCCCAGGAAAGGCACTCAGGAGAGCCAGGCCTGCCTTGTGTCAGCCCAGGCTGCCTGGGAGGGGCTCCTCTGCAGGATGGCACACAACAACCCTAGCAGCGGCCAGCACCTACCGGGCACTTCCATGGGCCGGTGCCATGCTGACTGCTCCCCTTGGTCAATGCCCCCAAGCCCGCACGCAGCACTCAGACTGAACTTCCTAAGATACAAACCATCCTGTCTCCTGCCCAGAGCCCCCCACTGCACTTGGGACAGAAGCAAACTCTGTGCTCTGCTCTCTGCCAGCCTCGGCCTCCTGCTCTCCTCCATGGCTCACCTGCTCTCCCGGCTCGGCCACGCGGCCTCCTGCGCACCGGGTGAGTTCCTGCCCCTGGCTCCACACTTCTTTCCCCTCTGCAGGAACATCGTCCTCAGACCATCCCATGCTCCCTCCGCATCCAAACAGGTCCCTGCTCCTGTCACCTCCCCGGGGGCGCCTTCCTGAATCCACACTCTATTCCTTTATTTTGCTCTTCACAATAGTCATCACTCCTTACCATTGTATTATACACATCTGTGTGATGTGCATATATGTGTGCTGCAAGGGTACATACACGTGTGCATGTCTGTGTGCATGTGTTTAAGTGCATGCCTGCATCTGTGTACATGTGCACCGTGTGTATGTGTGCTGTGTTGTCTGTGTATGCATGTGCACATGTTGCTGCATGTGTACTTATGCACGTTTATCCACACGTGTGTGCAGGCGCGTGCATGTGTGCATGTGTGTGCACATGTGCATGGGTTGCTCATCTCCCCCCAAAGGCGTACTTCACGAGGGCAGGGACCTGAGTCTGTTTTGTCTACTGCTCTGTCCTCAGGGCCTGGCACACAGAGGGACTCACTACACACGTGTGGAATGAATGAACTTGTGAAGCCTCACACCATCTGAGGGGTAGGTTTTCTTATCCCCATTTTACAGACGGCAAAACGGAAGGCTTGAGAAGCTAAGACCCTGGTTCAAAGCCTCACAACTAGGAAGCAGCAGAGCCAGACGCAAACCCAGAGCCTGTGCCCATGTCCCCGCATGGTCCTCTTGGAGTGACGTGGCTCCCTTAACAGCGGGGAGGTTTTGTGCGCTCCTTCCCCTTAAGCTCCTGACAGAGTATTGCCTTGCCGCGTTCCCGCGTTAGGCGCGTCTCTGCAGCGTGGTGGGGAGGGCGGGAACTGGGCCACCATCCAGATTTTACCTCCAGCTCTGCTCAACCTGCTCTGAAGTCCTGAGCTCCTGAGTCCCAGGTTCTCGTTTCCAAGAGGGAGGGACTGGCCACGAGCAGTGGGTCTCACATCCAAATCACCTGGAGGGCTGGTTAAAACAGATTCTGATTCCAGGGCCTGGGGTGGGCCCGAGAACGTGCATTTCTAATAAATTCCCCAGTGACGCCGATACTACTGGTCCAGGGACCACACTTTGAGAACCCTTGGCCAGAAGATGCCCGATGTCCCTCAGCCTGTGGTTACATGATGGCACGCTTGGTTCCAGCAGCCCGGAGCTGCACAGGGCAGTGAGTAAGAGCCAGTCTCTGGAATCTGACTGCTGGGTTTGGATCCTGCCTCTGACATGTCCCAGCTGTGTGACCCTGGGCAGATTATTTAACCTGTGTGAGCCTCAGCTTCCTCATCCGAAATTGGGGAAACTTTATCTCAGGGCACTGGTGGGAAGATTAAATGAGAGAATGCAGATAAAGCCCTGTACACATAGTAAGCACCCAGTAACAATGACCTGTCATCAACAGTGGTTAAGAGCTTGCCTGCCAACCAAAAGGTCAGCCGTTCAAATCCACCAGCAGCTCCTTGGGAACCCTATGGGGCAGTTCTGCTCTGTCCTATACGGTCGCTATGAGTCAGAATCGACTCGATAGCAACAGGCTGTTTGTTGGGTTATCATAAAGAGAAGGAGTGGTGCCGCTGTTAAGCACTCGGCTGCTAACCAAAAGGTCAGTGGTTTGAACCCACTAGTGGCTCCACAGGAGAACACGTGGCAGCCTGCTTCTGTAAAAATTTACAGCCTTGGAAACCCTATGGGGCAGTTCTACCCTGTCCTATAGGGTGGCCGTGAGTTGGAATCGACTCAGTGGCAATGGGTTTGGGGTTTTTTGGATATTATCAACAGTATCGTTGTCCGTAAGGCTACCCTGTAACAGTCACCCTTAACTGCTGAGATGGTGGGAAGCAGTGATCCATTAAGGAGAAGCTTTTTAACATGTAGCGAGAACGGTTCTTGTTAGTTGCCACGGAGTCAATCCTGAGTCATGGCGACCCCACGTGTGCAGAGTAGAACTAGGGTTTTCAATGGCTGTGCCCTTTCTGAAGCAGAGCTCCAGCACCGCCTTCAGAGTTGCCTCTGGGTGGGTTCGAACTGCCAACCTTTCTGCTAGTAGCTGAGAGCGTATTAACCATTTGTTCTACTCAGGGACTCCAGAGAGAACAGAACTACCAGCAATCTGCTTGCAACCTCTAGAGCCCTAATAGAAAGGGCAATTCAGAGTTCCACTAGTCACCAAATAGCTCTTTTTATTCTTTGAATTTTAGTTGCTTCCTCAATGCTGTATGACGACCATTCTGGGCTTATTTGAGGTCATGTCTACATCTCATCCACTTGGTAATGGAGCCATTTATCAAAGGGAAGTCCATCTGGCTTCCTGAAGCAGAGACTGTGCCTGCCTCAAGTTTCCTTCCTGCCCGCCCGAACCCTTTTAAAAATAGAATTCCTGTGTTCCCAGGAGACAGAGGTGACAAGAATTCTTCGCGACTCTTTCTGTAAATCGCAAATGCAGCCCGGGTCTGCAAATCAGGAAATCAGCCAGAAACCAAAGGTGCTGTAGACTCAACAACAAAACAATGTCTGCACACTGTTCCGCCTTTTTCTGACTAAGCGCCATTAAGCCGTGTGGGGAGTGCAGCAAACACACGAAAGCAAAAGAAAAAAAGAAAAAAAATAGGAGGGAACAAAACAAAGCAAGGCTCACAGTGGGCAGGTATCAAATTAGGTGCAAAGCGTTTACTTACCGGGCTTGCCTGTTTCTTTTGCAAGCAAAGAGCAAGAAGCAACAAAAAATGGAAGCAAAACAGATAATCAGGGCAGCTGTTAGGAAAGCAGAAGAAACATTTGCAACAACCTGAAATGCAGAAAGCGCAGACGTCTCTCTCTGTTCTGAATTCTGAATATTCGATACTCGAGCTTAATAAAACACAGGCTCTTTTAAAAGAACATTTGATGAGAATGCACCATGATGGCAGAACAGGATGTCACGTTGGCACAGGGCATTGGTGAAAGCCTCACGGAAGCCACAGAGCCGGGCTGGAGCCAGGAGGAGCTAGTGTTGCGGGGAGGGGGGGACTGGTTTTAACTTCAAAATGCAACTGAAGTCACTCTGGTCCTCAGTGTTAAGCTCTCTGGGCTGAGTGTCCCCTCCCCCCAGGGCTGCTGGTTAGGTGAGTGAGAACACAAGGGCAAGATGGAACCCAGATGAGACACATAACTGTGTTTCCACAGAGCCCTGGCCAGAAAGAAGGCCTGCCCACAGTGACAATGAGTCCCAGTCATGTCTTTGTCCCTTACTATCCTCTACAAGGACATGAGGACCTGAAAATCCGTGGTGGCCCTAATCAATGACCACTACAGATGAGAAAAGCTCTGGAAAAACAGAGGAGGAAAAGGATGGTGGGTGAGGATGGGGAATAGACACACAGGGAGGTACCACCCTGAGCGACAATGTTGCTCGCAGCTAGGGATGCTGGAGGGGGTCTCACGGAAGCACCCCAGAGAGTACTCAAAATGCCCAGAGCAGGAAAATGCTCAAAAGGGGGTGTGTTCACAGGTCTCCAAGAGCCGGACGGACCCTCAGACCAAACACACCCATTCTCCGGGATGCAGGGAGGAGTATGGGAGGGGAAGAAAGGATTAGGAGTGAGGGATGGGGTGGGCACGTGTGGCCACAATCCCTAAGTCGGGGCAGGAGGGAGGAAGGCAGATGGCCTTCTTGCGGGGGCTCAGCTGGATTCACATTCTATGCCCCTCTCATACCGTCTAGGATTGAAAATGTTGTTGGAACCACTCTCCCCACACATATTCTGTGAAGGAAGCATCAGCGCTGAATAATCTGTCACCACAGAGCAGGGCACTTATGCCAACTAGACAGATTCTCCCTCTCAGTTTCCAAGAGGGTACGTCTGCTACACATCTGCCAGCTGAGCAAGAGAAGATGGTGCTGGGCAGGCTTCTCTCAGGAGCAAAAGCCCACGCCCCTCCACTCTGCCTTCAACATTTGTCTAAACGTCACCACTAACAACAAAAATAAAAACATATGACTCTGAGATGTAGACGGATGTTTCCAGACGAATGCTGGCAGGTCTAATGGATGGTCTCACATCCCAAGACTCCAGGAGACCAAGAGGTTTTGCTCAATTTGCCAGACACTGCATATTAGAAGACATAAATCCTGCATCCTAAGCACTTTGATCAGCATTTTCAATTCCAAGAGATGTTTTAAAAATCTCATCCATATGTCTCCATAAATTCTTATACCACTGGAATAAAGACATTTCTTTTTGATAGCAAGCATGTGCCGTGAGGCTGAACCTCAGAAACACCCAAAGGGCCGCCTCTGTGAGTCCTGGGGTGAAATGGCCTTTATGACAATAAATCCAAACGCAAGCCCCTTCATTGAACGGAAAGTGTTCGATTGCGGGCCTCTTCACAGTCCCCAGGCTGCTCTTGTATGTATCTGGGGACAAGCGAGAAGTGTGCTATGACTCACAGATCCCAACGTTTGTGAGAGAGAGGCCATCTGCCAGCAGAGTGTCGAGCCTGGACACATAACTGCGCTCCCAGTGAGCTGGGATTCTACTCCACATTTTCTTAAGAGAAAAAGATTTTCTAAAAATGGATATTGTGAACCTAAGCAAATAAGTAAGAAAATAGATAAAAATAAAAATAAACCACAATCTCCCCCCTAGAGTCACGGCATCATCTTCTGAAGAGTGATCATTAGTGTAAAAATGTGCGCTTGAAATTTGTGCAAGGTCTTTTCTCATAATATATATCAAAAAGAGAGGGAAGACCTAGGTGTGTTGTAACTTATAAATTAAGGTTGCCTTTGGGGCCCTGGTGGTGCAGTGGTTAAGAGCTCAGCTGCTAACCAAAAGGTCAGCAGTTGGAATCCATCAGCTCCTCCTTGGAAACCCTATGGGGCAGTTCTACTCTGTCCTATAGGGTCACTATGAGTCAGAATCGACTCGACAGCAACAGGTCTGGTATTTTTTTTGGTTTTGGTTCTCAGCACTGTCATACTAGCTGCCAGGGATGCTATGTTAAGAAGGATTCTGAGGCACTGTCCAATCTCAGCGGGAAAGAGTGCTGTGGTCAATTAACAGTGTCTGCCATGGTGGTCACAGGAGGAAGGCGAGGGGCAGCTGGACTGCCACAGGCTCCGACGCCCTTGCCCTTGACCCTGTGGAAAGGCTGAACAGGGCATTTTGTCACTTGAGTCTAAACCAAGATTAGGATTTAGAGACTTGAATCCTGTTCTATGAGCAAACAATCAATCCCCCAAATCTCCTTCCCGGTGAGCCGGACAGTCCTCGGCTGGGCCAGATGGTGGCCTGTGGGTGACTGTGATGGCCTCCCCAGGCATGAGAGATCCTAGCGGGTGTTTCCAGGGCTCGGAGCCCAGGCTCTCTGTGCGGGGCAGAGCCACGATGAGAGGTGCTTTGAAGGACCTCAAGCTCTGAGGGGGGCCCTGAGAAGAACACGCTCAGTCACACCCTCCCCACATGCACACAGTCAAGAAACCCCAGGCAGGTCTGAGGTCTTGCGAGCCAGACACGTACCTATCATCTGAGCGATGGTCTTCTCGTACTCGGCCACTATTTTCCTGTAAGAGAAGTGAACACATGTTGGAAACGTGACAACAGAACCATTTTTATCTCACATGCGGGCCCGTGAGCTGGACAGCAAGCGTACACAGGACAGACCCGCACGCCTCGGGCCACCGCCAGGCTCAGGCCTCTTCCCGGTGCACGACTCTGAACACGCCACTCCCTGCGCAAAACCTCCAGTGTCTCCCTACTGCCCACTAAGAAAAAAACAACAATAACAACAAGGCCGAACCTTCACCTGATCATTGAAGCCTTCTGCAGTGTGGGCCCGAGCTCTCTCATCAACCTCACCTCCTTCCACGCCATCCTGTGAGCACAGTGGCTCAGCAAGAACTGATGGTTTCCTGTTTGTTCTGGGCTGTCTCACCTCCATGCGTTTGCTCATGCTGTGCATGTCCCCTCTCTATTTCCACCTGTCATAGTCTACCTGTTTCTCAAAGTTTAATTCAAATGTTACCTCCTCCAGGAAGTCTTCTGCGATTCCTCCTTGGAAGTCCATAGCACTTTATCTGCAACTCCTTCGTCTAAAGCATCTCATACACCTGGCCCCACAGTACATGAGTCTTACCTCCTCTACGAGAGTAGAAGATCCTCAAGGCCCAGAGGCTACTTCTCTCTCACCTGTGTGTGCTGTGTGTGCGTGTGGGGAGGGATAGGCCTGAAGTAGCAGCTCTTGGGTAGCATCAATAAACAGTAGCTGCACAAAAGCACTAAGATCATCTGCTTGTAAGACTGCCTCAAGGCTGCCCCTAGGTGAAAGGACTGAGAGGTGTGAAGAAACCCTCCCTCCAAAGTCAACCTTCTAGAGGGAACCTCTCAAAAAGACTCAGGGGTATCACCTAAACTATCCAATAATCACTCCCCACAAGGGAACCAAGAGCTGTCAGCCACCAGCAAATCCAGGACCCTGATTCCAGAAGACTCCAAAGACCCAGGAGGCCTGAGCTGAACAACTTACCTCATTTCCATCACTTCCCTCCTGCTTTCTTCATATTTATCTTTCCACTCTGCGACCTCTCTCTCCTTCGTTATGATCTAGTATCAGGGAGAAGAAAAGAATGGTTAGCCCTAAATGGGTGAATTCAGATCAGAGCCATTCACAGACAAGACAAGGAGAAACAGAATGCACGTGGAATTAAGACTCACTACACCAAGCTACGGTTACATTCAGACAACTTCCTCGAGCATGAGGAAGAAATACGTCCGATACCAGACTTCCACAGTGCCTGCTGGGGAGCAACCAAAATGCATATGCTTTTTCTTATAAATCAAACAGAGTCGGACAGGCCCGTTAAACAATGGTATCTGGGAAGACCAAAGCCAACCGTTTGCCACCCATCTCTGCCAGTAGTGTTCTGCGGAGAAAATTTGTCTCCAAAGGCCCTGACTTTGTGGGTTGTGGGCATATACATTTCTTATTTACATATGGCAGAAATGATCTTTCCCCACTGTGACCAGAGCTGGCCTTCTCCTAAGCCACATGGCCCCGTACCTCTGCCCTGGCGATCTGCAATGCAGAGTCCAAGTCGGGCTGTGGGTACAGAAGGCCTGGGGCTTTCTCCGCCTCAGAGGTCCCGATGCGGGAGTATAAGGCTGTTTTGGATATGGAGACATCTGTTGGGTGAGCAGCTTCTCTCTGTGGAATGGTTTTTAATTAAAAAAGTAAATAAAAAAGTTAACATTAATCATATGACAAAAGAAGACTGCATTCATTGCCTCATGAATGGGTCATGTGTATGGATTTGAAACAAAGAACACCAATAGTATGAGAAAATGCAAAGACTAATGGGTGGGAGATGCGAGATACAATCTATGGAAATCTATTGTTTTGCACCGGTGGGAGCAGACAAAGAGGCTAATGGTGGAAGCCCGGCAACCCCACGCCCTTGGAGTCAAGCACGTCTGGTGCCTGCTTATCGAGGCCATTTATCAGGCTCGAAGGCACTTAGGCATAACACATAAGAACCCAGGTAATCGTTCCACAGGCTCCACTTCGCAGATAAAAGCTTGATGGTGAACGATGTTGAATTCTACTCTATGTTTGCCTAGTTTTGAATAACAGCGGATTTGATAATTTTTGTAAGACTACTCACATTTCCATTTTGGGGGCATTTGTTTAGCTCCATTTGATAGCATGGGATTCACACAAGGCTTAAGGCCTACCATAGTTGTCAGTCAACCATCGTCACCTTCAACAAGCTAGAGTTTCTGGATTCCTTAAAGGTAATATAATATGGAGTTATGTTGTCACGAAGGCCGTTCCGTCAATGGGAAAACTAAACACCAGATCAATGACAATATCCACATTGGCTGGTTAAGACCCTCAACAAGTGGTATGATCCCATCCACCCAACTGGCACTGGTTTGACTGTTGTATAGCCTTCTGTAGAGGACACACACGACCCTCCTGGGAGCAGAGGAGCGGCCTCTGGTCCCCCTGCCCCCACCCACCCCTTCCCTTTGCACAAATGCTTGACAGTTTCTGACACAGTTGAAATGCGGTGTTAGGATTCTCGTCTACCAGCACAGCCGGCTTGTCAGTCAACTTCTACTGCAAAAGACACATCACGCCAACCACACTCGCAGTCCTATTCATTAACCTCATGGAGCTGTTATGGTTGCCAAGGCAAACCTCCACCCTGGTTCCTAGAGTCCAATGCCGCGTGAAGTAATGGTGGTCTAACAGGCAGAGTACGGCTGCTTCTTCCTCAGGGAATTTAGGAGAGTAAATTGAGCAGTGAACAGAACACCACTCTCCAGGGGAAAGAGAAGGATATTTGGGAAAGAATGAGGACACATGTTTTAGAGGGCAGCAGGAAAGATGAAAGAACCAACAGTAACTGCAGGTACCTGTGCAGAATGTTTCTCTTCAATCACAAGAACAGGCAAGCTCGCCCTAAGGTAGCACCAGGGAAAATGAACTTGGAAGGGAGAGCTTAGAAAACTCTAACGGAAGCTTAATGGATAGGACTGGAGGCTATTCGGTTAGGTCCAGTTAGTTGTACACATGCAAGATGAACTAAATGGTCTTGGTTGCCCTGGAAGTGAGCTGCTGTTGCTGTGACTTCACCACTCCTGCCTGGGCTAACCCTGGTGGGATCTGCAAGACCACCGCTGTTCAGAGAGGGGAGCACACAGCCCTGTCCATCCAGACCCTAGAGACACACACTCACGTGGTAAATGGAGCACCAGGACCTTCACAGGCTTGGGTCCTAACGAAGCCTCACTTTACAGGACATGTGACCACAGGACAACCTCAGCAGCCAGCAGGTTGACCTCTCAGGAGAAACAGTGCCACCTAACCACGGGGCAGAGCCTCATGCCTGTACGAGCTACTCTCTGCCGTTTAACATGGTTTTCAAGGTTCTGCTTGTTGGAGGGGAAACTTCCTAGAAAGTAACTGGAAAACTATGTGCCTACAGATCAAAACTCAACATTTGCATTTAAGGAGAAAGTTCACGAAAGTTCTTAAGAGGATTAAAAAACAAACCATTCCTATCACTCTTAATAAAGTAACATTTTGCTTAAAAAAAAAAAAAGTAGAATTTGAAAATGAAAAGGACATTAGATGCCATCTAACTCAGTCTAGTCCTTCTGAAGATGAAAAACTTGAGGATCTGAGAGATTTAGCCAAAAGGTTTCTCAGAATGAGATTCAATTCTGGCCCAAAACAAACCAACCCCCTGAAGCGCAAGAGAAAATGCATTTAATTAAAACTGACTTTATCAGACAAGGCAAAAACTACACAAGATCAACACGCAGGCATTACGATCTCCAAGGCAGGCATTACGATCTCCAAGCCGCCCAAAGTCCTTTGTAAAGTGAGGAAGGAAATAAAAAACTAAGTTAAATAATGAGCTTTCTAAGTAAATGCAAATGGCTACTACCATATACAATGATTCACAACCACCTTTCAGCTTAGCCACCTGGTGTTTTCAATAAAGGAACAGATGACTTCAGAATCCACTTGAATTACTGCCTGAGTATCTGTGTGTTAATGAAATTCATCACGCACACCCTGGTTTTTCCTTACAACTAAGACTTGTTTTTCACGGAAATTAATAGGTTTGTCTCTCGCTGATGTTTTAAGATTAGATTTAGATTAAGCTTTGTTTCTCTTACGTAACCCCCCTTGCTACTGTAAAGGGACCAAACAGCCACTAAAATCACAAATTAAAATGTGAAATGGCCACGACCCAGAAGAGCACAGGCCTTTGGAACCAACTTCCAACCCCTCAATCAGCTCCCTTAAATCCTGGTCCCTGAAAGAACCCCGGGGCCACCGTCACCGCTCTCAGATCTGCAGGGCTCAGGCCTGGGATCCTTTCCATCTTGCAGCCGTGGGCTGGGGGTCCAGTCACTCACCTGGGCTCGTGGTCCGCCTGTGGCAAAGGCCTCAGAAGGCACCACCACATGCTACCACAGGATCCTCGTCCCCAGGCGGTCAGAGGCCGACTCTGGGGGTGAGCAATTGCAGATCAGAGCCTGGGAGAGCGGACCCAGGGGAGCTACGCCGGGCTGAGGACTGGAGGAGTTGAGATTAGGTAGGGAGACTGCAGCAAAGTGGGCTGAGGCCATGAGTGTGGACCCAGGTGGGGAATCCGTGGGGTGTCTTGGCCCCATGGTGCCATGTTGGGCAGGAGAGTGGCCTTAACATGGTGCTGCCCTGTCCAAATCTGACAACGAGCAGTTCTCAAGCTCAGGAGGGGCAAATAAAGGAAGGCACCTAGTACCACTCCCTTATTCTTCACCCACAGAAGGCACCATCAACGGATCCCTCTTTCTCACTTTCCCAAGACACAGCCTCACAAAGCCTTCCCAGCACAGTCCTCCAGGCAATCATCATGGATTCTAGAAACTGGCAGGTAAGCTAAAACCCATGGGCCAGCCCTCTGTCAACTCCTTTTTAAGACTGTTCTCGTGACTTCACGTCTCCCTACTTTTCAGCCACTGTTACATGTTGGGAGACTGTAGTTTTGGGGGAGCCCTGGTGGCACAGTAGTTAAGAGCATGGCTGCTAACCAAAAGGTTGACAGTTCGAATCCACCAGCCGCTCCAGAAACCCTATGGGGCAGCTCTACTCTGTCCTATTGGAACTATAAGTTGGAATCGACTCGACAGTCACGGGTTTGGTTTTTTTTTTGTTTTGGTGGTTTTGGGACAGAGGGTGACAGAAGATGTAGCATATGATATCGAGGTTGCCCAGCCCTGACTACTTCTCTGTTCACCCAACACCCCTGCATCTGCCCAAGAAGTCAGGACTTCCGCAGGAATCAGACCCTGAAGACTGACAACACTTCTCCTTCCCATGCTGCCAGAGCTTACCATTCCTGATTCTTCTTCCCAAGATCCCCACATACATCCTGCAGTTTTTAAACTGGGTCCCTCTAATCCAGAAAGACCAACGGCTTTAAGGATTACAACCAGTATCTGTTACGGACACAAATGAAATCAGTCCCCTCATGCGTGGTACCCCCTGGAAGGCCATACAGACAGGACATTACAGAGTCCGCCTATCCTAGCTGAGTTTCGTGTTCAATCCAGGGCTGCTGCACCACTCGGCCAGGGGCCCCGGTCACATTTAGCCCCAGGAGAACCCGACAGAACTCAGTTCAACCAGAAGTGTGTGGAAGGAAAGTCATAATGAGGCTGCAGCCGGACACCTTAACTCCTCTGGGCTGTCCCTCCTGTAATGTTTTCTTACTAACGAGCCAGAGAAAACCAGCTGCAGTTCCTCAGAGGCTTCCCCACTCTCTATCAGTCTAAAGGGAAATGTTAAGTTGAACTGCTCTCGGGGAACAGCCAGCCAACCACCCCACACCATATTTCATGCAGATTCCACCCCTCAACCTGATTTTTTGTTCCAAGTGATTTCATTTTCGCATTACCAACAGTTTCAGCCCACACTGCCAAAAAAACTGGGCTGTCACCTGCAGCTGAAAGATACAGGCAGAAAAAGGGCGAACTGGAGGCCCAGCTGCTGTCTTTTCTTTCTACACATTAGCAGTGCCCAGCGCCGTGAGGTGCAATCAAGTGTCTACATGACCCAGAAACCCACAGGAACGAACCTAACTGGGTTCACGTGAATGCACCACCCTGGGGCTGGTCGGCTGCAGGAAGGTACGTCGACCTTCCAAGGGCCAAAGTCAGGGATACACTTTCTACAAAAAGTGGCACAAGTTATATCGTAGAGAAAAATGTGGTTATACTCCAGAACATCTCTACCTTCCACCCCTATATAACATTTCTTCCATAATGTACTTCTGAAATACATTAGGCTCAGTGGGTTTGTGTGACAATATTTCCTAAATCACAATCAGGACACACGGTCCGAGAACAGAATGTTACTGACAGAAGTCAGCTCACAATCAGTATGTGCCGACCGCCATCTCTGACACATTCTCAGGGGAAAGGAGTCAGGGACTCCCAGACACTCCAGAACACTCCCTACTCAGAAGTCAGAATACTTATCAGAACATGTTTGATCTGGCCCCAAGCGTCTCCTGGCCAGGAATACACTGTATTTCTAATGGCCAAACTTCAGCCAGTGCAATCTGTCTCTAAGTCGCTCCCCAAGGATATCAAGAAATCAATGTCATGGGGGAAAAGCCTCATTACTTAATGTTTTCTAAAAAATCTTTCATGGACGTTACACCCTTGGAGAAAGGCGGGCGAGGAAGCAGGTCTATGGCTTGGCAGCAAGGACATCACGGATGTGTATTTACATTCTTATCCCTGCCTGGGCCCCACCGCCCCCAGTCTGGACACCCACCAGTCACTGGGAGGTGTCCGGGAGGAAACCACATGTGGGGGCCTCTGCAGAACCACCAGCCGGCAGAGCCCCAGCTCCTATGCTAAGGAGAGAGGGGGGTCCAGCACGGCCCCTCTGCCTAAGTGAGATGAGCAAGACAAGGGCACTCATCCGGCAGTGCAGAGGGGTGGGCTCAGCCTCACAGGGCCACACCTCTGCCTGTCTGCAGTAACTCATTCACCTAGTTAAGAACAATCACCTCATACCTGGAAGCCCCCAGACAAAAACATGTCAGGGTGCCTCTCAGTATCAAACTCACCCGAAGTAGGGTTTGCAAACTACGGCCCGAGGGAACGACTACTGGAACACGCCACCTCCATTCACTCGTGTATTACCTCTGGCTGCCTTCCCACTGCAACACAGAAGCTGAGCAGCTGTCACAGAGATGGGCTGGCCCGCAAAGCCTAAAATATTTTCTATCTGGCCGTTTACAGAAAACAGTTCGCCGCCCTTTGCTCTAGAGCACCATCTAACAAGTTCACCAAAGGCCCACTGATGCTCTCAGCGAAGGTCTATATCACTTACTGTTCACTATTGATTAGGGCCCAGCCTCAGTAAAGCTAGATGTTAACTCACAGAAAATAGAAAAGCCGCAAATTATTTTTGTTCAGTAAAGGAGCAAATAAATTTCTGTAGAAAGAAAATTTTTTTAAACACAAAGGTTATGATTTTTTTATTCTGTTTAGCCAGTCTTAACCGGTTCCCCATCTAACTTTGCAATCTTTCTTTAGCTTTCTTTACCCCACTGATGAGATACATTCATTTTTTGTATTCTCCATTCAACCAGCGTTACCATTCTGCCAAACCAAAACCAAACTCATTGCCATCAAGTCAATTCTGACTGATGGCGACCCCATATATGTCAGTGTAGAAATGTGCTCCCTAGGGTTTTCAGCGGATGTGATCTTACAGAGGTAGGTAGCCAGGCCTTTCTTCTGAGGCACCTCTGGGTGGATTTGAACCACCAACCTTTCAGTTAGTAGCTGAGTGCTTCATGGTTTGCGCCACCCAGGGACTCCATTTAACCAGTCACCAGTTCCATATCTAATATTGCAATCCTATTCGAGGCTTCTTTATCCCATGGACTAGATACACGTTAGTTTCTCACAACCTCCATTCAAACAGTTTTACCATTCTGCCAGTTCCCACACTATAATAAGTTAAATGACTCTCAGCCACGTGCTCACTATGCATTTTTTGCAAGAGTTACGCTTTTAGCCTTTTGAAAAAATTCCACTCAGACAGAGCCTGGAGTTGCGCGCCTGACCTATGGTTAGCAAAGCAGCGCTCGGACCACGTGGCACACAGCATTCTGGAGAGCAGGTGAGGGCGGCACCCTGGTACCTTGGCGTCTTGGCGGCTGCGGGAAGCCAGGGCAATCTGCCTGGCCAGCTTCAGGGCTTCTATCCTCATGATGGCAAACTCTAACTCCTCCTGCTCATGATGGGGTATGAGCGAACCGTGGAGAAATGCAGCAACACAGGACGTGAATGTCTCCCACATCCAGGAATGAGAGACCACTTAAATGTGTCATGACAGGCACTTGGGAAAAACACACGCGCCAGGGTTCTTTCACAGTTAACACCTCAGCAGATCATGAAATAAGTGTTTAATTTCCTTTTTTCAATCACTCTTTTCGAATGTCTGTCGGGATGCATGATGTGGCCGAATAGGAGGTGAGTTTTAGAGTGAGATCCAAACGTTTACAGGGCTGTTGACTTTGATTTCTTTTCTTTCGTTCTCTTAATGTAAATTTGGCCAACACTCTCCCGATGAATCTGCAACTCTCAAACGACTGTTAACAATCTCCCTAGGTCTGCTCTGAACTTTCTAGTCTAGAGGATATCAAATTAAATTGTCAAATTTGAAGCACAGCGTAGATAATGGTTTTGGTGCCAGATGTAAGACCAAGTCCAGATGTTATCTCAATGGGAGTCTGAGATAGCCTCTCACACAGAAATAGCTTGGCTTGGTGGTGAGCTGATACCTTCAGTTTGGAGAATAAATCACAGAAACTGCTGCTGGGGCTACCAGGACTTCTGAAAAATGACCATTTGGGCCCAATTTCCAAACTGAAGTAGAAATGGTTTGTTCAATATGTAATCACACAATTTATGTAATTTCGGCGTCTTGGATAAAGAGCGCCGTGTATGGGTCTTGAGGGGAAGAGATTTCATTTGGAACTAGAAGTTCCTCATTCAATGCTGCCTCCTTTCCTTTGGGGCTCTGGGGGTTCATTCTCTACTGAGGTTTTGACAAACTCCCGAAAGTCACATGTGGGCTACAAACCTGAAGTTTCTGAGCAAATACTGGGGGGTTCTTTTCTGCTAAGTCGGGCTCCAGGTAGTCAAGCGCACCACAGAGAGAGGCTGGATGAGCCAGCCTGCTGAGCAGGGCATCAGCAGAAACAAAGGAGCCCTCCGGAGCTGTCTGAGGCCGGCAGACAGGAGCACACAGAGGAAAATAGAGGAGAGCAGAGAGCGATATTGATTCCAGGCAAGGACCATGCATCTAATTGCTGGACATTTCTGTCTTAAGGCTAAAGAGAGTATCAATCAGGTGCCAACACTTTCCTCTTCGCCTGGACTAATTACCACGTACCAGTAAAGGTTGAGATTGGCAGGTCCAACCCCCCTCCCCAAAAGCACAGCTATAGGTGCCCTCCCACCCCCACACCACCCACATTCTTTAACTGTAGCCAATCAGCAGGAGGAAATGTACCATTCGCTTATTTATTTGAAAATCTCAGGGGAGGGGGGAAGGCAAGCTAGTTGATGGATTTTCCAAACATAACTCATCAAGGAAAGACCTCCAAGTATAAATTTCAAAGTAAGTGAGGTTTTGTTTTCAGTAAAGGTCATTAAAAAAAAAAAAAGTAAGGACGATTTCAAATGAAAAGTGTCTCCTGGTAGATCAGAAAGACTTCAAAATCAGAAGGCAGCTTTGTAGCAGTTGAACCATGTACAAGTCCTTCATAGTGTTTGAGAGATCGTTTGCTTCATGTCTAGATCCTCTTTTTGCTCATTACTGTTTTTCTAGCTTCCAACCCATTGCCAGACACACAGTTAGTGTTCAATAAATAATTGATACATGAGACAAGTGAATGGTCTACTAATAAGGAAGAATAAAAGCAACACACCTATTCCTCACTTATCGACTATTTTGTTATCCAACATTTCACATTTATGACAGTAGTAAAAAATCTACTATCTGACTATTCTGCACATTAATGATGTGTATCTAGCAGTAACGAATGCTGAGGTGCAAGGCAAGAGTAACGCTGGCTGTGACCGTTACAGTTACGGGTCAGCTTGGCTGGGCCATGATTCTCAGTGGTTTGGCAGTTATGTAATAATGTAGTCATCTTTCATTTTGTGGTCTGATGTAGTAATCCTCCATTTTCACATAACACCAATTTTTGCATAACAATCTGGTCTTTGGAACCTAACCATGTCGATAAGGGAGGAGTGGGTGTATATTAAATCAATAGCTTCAAAGCCTACTGGGAATTGCTAGAAGGGAGATACAAGAAATAAAAATTAAATTCACCTAGAAGGATGGTCTGTTTTCAACATGTGGAAGAACTTTACAAGTGTATCATATGTTATAGGGAGATCACAGGTTTAAGCCCTCCTCTAACACAGAGGCCTGTGGATGGACACATGCAGTAGTGTGTGAAGGTGAGGGGGCTGAGGTCTTCAGGTCTGTGTATTTGTCCTGTAGGACTTCACTGGGGTTGGGAAGGGAGAGGTATAAATCCTAATCTGTATACATAAGAGCCAACGAGGGCAAGGGAGACCCTCGGTGAGATGGATAGGCACAATAGTCACAAGGATGGACTTGAACAGGTAGTGATGGTGAGGATGATGCAGGACTGGGCAACATTTCATCCTGCTGTACATAAGGTCACTATGAGAAGGAATTGACTCAACAGTAGCCATCTATCTGTCTATCTAGCTACAGAAAGGATTTATCATAACTGAAGCCCAAGAAAACCAACTGTTCCCCCAAAAGAAGGTGTACCCTGCCTACCATTCTCTGCCAAGCGTCAGTCTGCTGCCACTGCTGAGGCAGAGGCAGGGTACAGAGTGATAACTGCTCCAGAGCAGCAATCCAGCTAAGGGGCTGAAAGTGGAAAGCAAATAACCTTGAAGGCAAAGAAAGCACCAAGAAGACTAGTGAGAACTGCAAACGCACACTGGTGAGAGTGGAGAGCCTTTCTCTTGTCATTGTGGACTGTGGGCTCCTAGACTGGCTTCTGTGGTGTGGGGGATGGGATGGGGCCAAGAGAGTGCTGCTCGGAAGGCTGGGCCCTCTTGGTGATGGGAACCAGCTGACCCGGCCTCATCCCCAGTGATTTCAACCCCGTGGGGCCCTACTTACAATTTCAATCGGGTCAGAAGCGGTCCCCAAGGCCATGACCTCCAGCTCTTTCTGCGTGGACTTCTCTGGCACCTGCAAGTGTGGCTCTTGGTTGGGGGCCAGCCCTCGTGGGATGGGATGCTGGATTTTGGCCCCAGCATTCAAAAGGGCCTCAGTCTCCTCAAAACTTGATCTGGGGGAACAAAGGCCACCTTCAGAATCTTTGTGCTGGAAATCCCACTGAAATGAGCCAGGACGCCCTGGCTGCATCAATATCCCAAGAGGCCCTGGACTTCCAGGGCCACATTCCCAGAGGGCAATGGAGCAGGTCTTTGGTGGGTAAGGGGCCTCTAGACTTTGCACTGTGAGGGAGGAGCTGTCCAGTTTCAGCCCAGGGCTTGCTGACAAGGGAGGGTGGGGAGAACAGACACCACTGGCTAAGGGGCACAGACACCATGGCCAAAGGGGCACAGATGCCACTGGCTAAGGGGCGCAGACACCACTGGCTGGGAGGCACACACACCATGGGCTAAGGGGCACAGATGCCACTGGCTAAGGGGCACAGACACCACTGGCTAAGGGTCACAGACGCCATGGGCTAAGGGGCACCGATGCTATGGGCTAAGGGGCACAGATGCCACTGGCTGAGAGGTACAGACGCCATGGGCTAAGGGGCACAGACACCACTGGCTAAGGGGCACGGGCTCTGCAGCTAAGCAGACAATCAGTTGCTGGCTGTGTACCCTGAGGAAGTGACTGGGTACTGTGCTTCAGTTTCCTTTTCTGTAAGACGGAGACAACGTCCATTCCGTGAAGATGCAATGAGATGCTACACATAGAGAGCACTCTGTGACGCCTAATGGCAAGGTCATCATCATCATCATTTTCACTATCCTGGGCAGATTCTGGTCTTCACAGTCCCCCATAAGTTCTGTAAGTAAAAGCAAGAGCTCTCACTCCTGCAAGGGGCAGGGAGAAGAGGCCAAGAAGGTCCAAATCTAAGAGCGATGTCCCGCCCTTACCCAAGCAGGCGCCCCACAGCTTTGAAACTGAACTCTGAGGAATGCTAATATCGACATCTATACTAATGATCCATGTTGATTAGGCACTGCACGTGTGCCAGGCACTCGCACAATGCCTTCCAGACAGTATCTCAGCTCCCTCCTCCCGACAGCTCCATGAGACAGGTATCTGCAGTCCCATTGCACAGGTGAGGGATGCTCTGTACGACTGAAGGCCTCGCTCGTCTCCATCAAATCCCTATGGGGCTGGGCTTATGGGCACCTCGTCTTACAGGTAAGGAAACTGCAGCAGAGGGAGGTTTCATCACCTGCATCCCGTCGTATCAGGAAGGGATGAAGGTGGGATGCAGACTCTGAGTGTTTTGTCCCACTGGCTCCACACTGGAAAATTTACACAATACGTGGTGTGAATATTGGGGGTGAGGGGCGGGGGGATTCTGCCTTAGTGCAAAGGGTAGCCATAAACAAGACCACTGCATCTAGACTTCGGCACGTGGGGACCGTCAGAGAGCAGGGTGGGCTGCCTTAAAACACGCAACACAAATCAAGTCAGAACAACAATGTGAAGGTGACCCGAGGCTCTGGGGCCTCTGGCCTGGCTCATGAGCCTCTTACTACATAAGTCATACCCTGAACACGGCGTCGGGGAGTCCGACATCCGGACAGGAGACTTGATGGGGCTCTCCTGAGAAGCGTCAAACATCAGGTACAAAGCCTGCTTCTTCGGTGCGTCATCGTCATGCTGCAGAGACCCAAATCACATGTTATGGGTTGAATCGTGTCCCCCAAAAGACATGCTGAGGTCCTAACCCCTGGACCTGTGAACGTGACCCTGTCTGGAAATAGGGTTTTTCTTCCGTTACGTTAACAAGGTCATGTTGTTGGGTGGGTGCTAAACTCAGAGTTAAGTGAACACGGCCTCTGAGCACTGCCCCAAGAGGGCAGGGACAAGGCCCACGCTCTGTGCTTGGGTAGCTCTGATTTGACTGATGTGGTACCTGAGTCAGGTGCGTTTATGGGTATATTTTCTTGCCCCACCTTCAGGCCTGACTGACCACAAGCTGAGGTGCAGAAGCAGCAGCCCTAGCATCTATAAATGATACAAAGAAAGATAAAGAGAGGAGCAACGTGTCCCCACAAGCCCTCCCGGGCACCTCAGGCCCCTGAGGGCAGCGCTGAACAGCAGCAGGCCAAGAGGTCACGCTCAGGAAGAAGCTCCCTGCGGCAGCAGACAGGACGCCAGCAAAGACAGCTGACATCGTAACCATTTACAACGAAGAGGGGAGAATGAGACTGACTGCCCAGAGATAAGCTTCAGCTATACACAGAAAAAATTAATTTGTACAAAACACCTAATATTATCTCTTAAAAACCACCAAAAACTCCTTTTTTTTTCTTACAGCCCTTACAAGTTTTGCTTTCTCAGTGTAAGGAAGTAATTCTGCCAGGAAGTCTAACTGCATTCCATCCTCTTCTCCCTGAAAATGCTACCGGAAGTGGAATGAGCACAAGCCCCAAGCCCGTCCCTCTTTATTCCTGTGCACGCAGGATGCTGTGGCATAGACGGCCCTCGGCCCTCAAGTTGGGAGTCTGAGCTCCCAAAAATGCTTTGCACAGGGGAGGAGGCCGCTGCACTGTCAAAACCAAGGCAGGGTTGGGAAGCAAGTGCCCTGACTGGTTTGAGGCAGAAGAACTTACAGGTAAGGAGGTGCCGATTTTCTCCATATATTCGATTTCATAGGAGTTTCTGTAATCCAACTCTGCAAAGAAACAAATGGCGGGGTCAGTGCCAGAGGAAATCACGGGGAGATTTGGACCGGGAAGGGTGGGTCCTGGAACAAGGCTGTAAGCTTCTTGAGAACGGACTGCTGATACTGCCAACAGGGGAGGCTCAGCTCTTTTCACACGATCAGTAAACCTCTTGCTATAAATGGACTTCTGCCTTGAGCAGAGTCCCAAGGAAATCAAAGGGCATGAGCAGGCACAAGTTGGTGGACAAACATAAGTGTTTCCACAGAGTTTTCAGAGTGGAGAGTGTGTACATTTTGGGTGCTGGTTTTCTCTGCGACTCTCATGTGCAACATGTGGAATCCACCTACGTCCCTGATGACATTTGGGAACAAGACCCATGGTGGTCCCTCGCTGAGAATTTAGTCCATACTCTGAAGCAAGGAAAGACGAACCGATTTTGTCCCTCCAGTGTGGCTTATAGGAGAAGCTTCACAAGTTACCTGGAACATTTGCCAAAATCCTAGCAGGGCCCACACTGCTGGTCATAATCGAATTTTCAGATGCAAAGACCATTAAAAGGCCCATAGGTGGAGAAATGACCTATTGCAAATTGACTGCAAACTTTAGGCTGCCAAGAAAACTCCAGGCACTCTCACTGGAGACTAGAAACCCCACAGCCTGCCTTGGTTACCCAAACGATTCCACGTGGAAACCCCGGTGGGCCACACGACTCAACTCCCTCATCCAGTACATGGTTTCCGAGCGCCCTCTATGTGTCTGGCGCTGCGCTGGGCACAGCGGATATGGTGGTGACCAAGACCAAAGGGGACTCTGTCCTCGCTGAGGCCACCATCTGTAGCTACTGTAAGATGATTCTTAAAAAGAAAACCAAGACGTGACATGTGACTTGCTCAGAAGCCAGCTGTGTAAGAATATCGGTGGCAATCCATGAAGCCTAACGCATTTATTTTCTATATAAAAATAAGTACAAACGGCAGTTCTGGTTAAAACCCCTCTCTTTGTACATATTGTTGAAGGCATCATTTAAAAACATGATCCTTTAACATGAGCTTTAAAATGAAATATTTTCCAAAGACTTTCTCAAAACCCACTACGTGTGTGTGGTTGTGGCCAGATAAACTCAAGCACTAAAACACGTGGACACATTTTCAGGGGTCTCTGAATCTCCGCTATGAAGTAAATGCAAGCTTCTTGTAGGCATGGCCCACTCATGGGAATAAAGATGGATTTGTGGACTAATGGTCGAGAAGACTTCATGCTTCCTGAGGGCTGACACTGTGATTGTGTGTCGCTCGGAGAGAGCAAAGACAGGAGCACAGATCCCCCCAGTACCGGGACAGAGTTCAGAAGGAGGGTCTGTAACCCTCACGCAAACCGCCCAGGGTCTGACCCAACTTAAGACACAGAAGCATTAGTTTATGAAGACTTAATATCCTCCTCCTCTTAAAAATGAGAAGTAGGCAGGGGACAGTGATGACCAAGGTGATTTCCAGGTGATGTCCCTCTGTCTTATAGGGTCACTACATTTCAGAATTCATGGCATCCAACAACGTCAGCATCAGGGTAACCTCTGCTACTTTGAAGAAACATCTCATTGAACACGGTTTTCAAATCTCACTCATCTGCTTTACATTCTAAGCCTCAAAGTGTGGATGGTGAAGCTACATCCACTTTTAGCCCATTTTCATAGGCAGCAGAGAATAAGACCAGTTGTGCCAAGAAGCACATCATCTTCACATCCAAGGGGGAAGGCTGCTTAAGAAAGCATGTGGCTGCTTCAAGCTCAAAAGGGTCAAAGTTATTTGTAACGAGTACTGTCACTTCCAAGGGCTGCTTTTGGTAGTTATTTCATACCAGGGCACTGCACAGCAAGAGGGCGGGACTGCTGTTCCATTGAACTTTAACTGCTAGAGCTTTGCTGGTGGACCAGAAAGAGCCCTGCGTGGAAGGCAGGGGAAGCGGTAAGTTCAGACAGATCTGCATTCCCAGGATCAGGAAGGGCAGCTCACCCAACTTCTCCATGCCTATTTATGGATCTAGAAAATGGAGCTAAAAGTGCCTGCATTTTCGATAAAATGAAATAATGGGCTGGGAGGAAGGAAGTCATTGCTTGAGGGGCACTGAGCTTCTGTTTGGGGCAATGAGAAGTTCTGGAAATGGATGGTGGTGATAGCTTTGCAACATGGTGAATGTAATCAATGTCACTGAAGTGTATACTTAAAAATGGTTAAATGGCAAATCATATGTTACATATATTTTAACACAATAAAAAAAAATTTACTGAAATAATGCACAATAAAAGCCCTGCAACGTGTTATACAAAAGTAAGGTGTTGTGATGAGGTATATATTATTGCTCATTGATGGTACTTCTGGGACTTCTAACATATGTGATGAGGGAAAGAAGAGCAGGGAGCACAGCCCTCTGGTAGGCATGGCCCACTCATGGGAATAAAGATGGATTTGTGGACTAATGGTCGAGAAGACTTCATGCTTCCTGAGGGCTGACACTGTGATTGTGTGTCGCTCGGAGAGAGCAAAGACAGGAGCACAGATCCCCCCAGTGCCGGGACAGAGTTCAGAAGGAGGGTCTGTAACCCTCACGCAACTGTTCCCAACTTCCTTGCCATCTTCCTTCTAAAGGGCTGAAGTGTGACAGTGATGGCGTCCATCATCAAAGAGCCAAGGAGTGGGAGAAGGACACCAACCCTCTGACTGACGTAGGAAGGAGGGTCTGGTGTAGCTATGCGTTAAATAAAACAGAAAGCCTGGGTAACCATCAATGGACTATCCAGACGTGGGAACTGCAAACAACTTTTCTCTCCCAGGGTCTCTTGGACCAGAGCTGGGAGGGCTCAGAGGCTGGGCAGCCCAATGGTTCCCAATCTGTTCATCCCTAGAGGCTACATGGATTACATTTTCTCCCACAGCACCTTGTTTCAAAACATTACACCACAAAAGGGCATTTAACTAAGCCATCACTTGAAGAAAAATGTTTATAATCATCCATCAGAGTTCTTAATCAGTGGGAGGTGATCCATGCTACCAGAGTAGGTTGAGATAATTACAGCCCAAATGTGATATTTTAATTACCTGGGCATCTTCCTCTCTACTTCTACTCAAGTTTTTTGAAATATTAAAGACAACTTGAAGCTCTTCGTCGCTGCTCTTGTGGGCCCAGGGAGAGAAGTGCTGATTGAATTCAACAGTCTCATTTTACAGATGAGGAAAGGCGGACTGCCCGATGTCCACAGGAACAGCAGGGTGAGAAGAAGGTTGGCCTTTAGAGTTAGGCTGACCCGATTTTCATGGATTAGCCACACGACAATGGGCAAGTCCCCGCTCAAGGCCTGTTGCCTCCATCTTAACATGCGGAATTGGAGCAATCCTCTCTACAGAGCTGGAGGATGAAATGAAATAATGTATGGAAAACACTCCGCACAGCACCTAGCTCAAAATGAGCGTCCAGCCAATGGCAGCTCCTGCTTTACTATTATCTATAGAATCAACATCACAGTAAGTGTTCACACGGTAATTATTATTTCTAGCCCAACGTTTCATTTTTCTGTGGTCTGTGACTTCAGTGTACGAAAATCTCTGACCAGAGCTGCAGCCCTGGCCAGATTCATTCTGATGATGACATCAACACACCCGTGTGTGCCTCGTGCTGCTGGACTTGACCTCATCAAGGTAACAGAAAGGATGTTCTGATAAGAGGACTCTGTATCCAGCTTCACCTGGGTGCTGGAGGGAACCACAGCGTATCAGCGGGGGAGGGGGGCACCTCGGAAAACTGCAACTCTTCTGTAACCACACGGATGATGATCCGCCAGCCGTGATTACAGTAGTGACCTCCCAAATCATCACAATCGTTTTCTGAGGAGACAGGCTAAACAGAGCTTTGTTCCAAACGTATATATTTACCAGTTTGTTGGATTTTTGCAGAAAACGAACAGTTGCCAGACATGACAGAGAACTAGTGAGTTGTTTATTTTAGTATGATGTTGTTGTTGGGTGCCATGTAGTGAATTCCAACTCATAGTGACCTCATGTGACCAAGGAGAACTGCCCCACAGGGGTTTTTATTGTAGTTTTTAAATTTTATTTATTTTACTGTTGTTGTTGAGAAGATACACAGCGAAACGTACACCAATTTCTACAAGTACAATTCAGTGATATTGATTACATCCTTCAGGCTGTGCAACATTCTCATCTTCCTTTTCTGAATTGTTCCTCCTTCATTAACATAAACTGCCCCCTAAGGTTCCTATTTAACATTTTGAGTTGCTGTTGTCACTTTGATCCCATATAGATAGTTCTTAAAAGAGCATAATGCTCAAGGCAGATGTTTTTTACTAGCTCAGCTAAACTATTGTTTGGTTTTAAGAAGACTTCGGGGGATACTTTTGGTTTAAGGTTTAAAGATTATCTCAGGGCAATAGTTTCAGGGGTTTGTCCAGCCTCCATGGCTCCAGACAGTCTAGAGTCTATGAGAATTTGAAATTCTGTTCTGTATTTTTCCCATGTTGATCAGGCTTCTTCTGTAGACTCTGAACAAAACGTTCAGTAATGTTAGCCAGGCACCATCCATTTCTTCTGGTCTCATGGCAAAGGAGGCAGTTGTTCATGGAGGCAATTTGCCACACATTCCATATCCTCCTCCTACTTCTGACTCTCCTCCTTCCTCTGTTGCTCCAGACAAACAGAGACCAATTGTTGTGCCTTGGATGGCCACTTGCAAGGTTTTAAGACCCCAGGCACTACACAACAAACCAGGAGGGAGAACAGAAGCACTAAACATGTTATTAGGCCAATTAACTGGGATGTCCCATGAAACCATGATTCTAAACCTCCAAACCAAGGAACCAAATCCTACGAGGTATTTGGTTGTATATAAGCAGCTCAGCAGCTACTTTTTTTTGTTGTTGTCATTGTTGTAAATATGTCTATCACACAACTTTTGCCAACTTAACTTTTTACAGGTGTACAACTTATCGACAGCACTGACA